AACTTACTAGTATAAACTAATATGAACTTTTTTCCAGAGACATTTTAGGAAAGGTCTCCAAATTTGATACTTCTAGCGCAAGCCGTTTAGCCGCTATCTGAGATCAAAGTTGGGCCTCAAAAGCCCCTTCAGTCTGAAATGGGTTTAAAATCGGGTATTTCTTCTTGTCTTCTTTTCTTCACCAAAAATAGAAAAAGTTCAAAATGTATGATTTTTGTATGTAATGTGGACACAGAGGTTCCCACATCAGTTTACAAAACAATTGAGCTGGTAGCATGTTGATAATTTCTAAAAATTAGCAAAAAACTGCTCTGGGGTCCGCGCGGACCCCAGGTGTACAGATTAATCAGTCCGGGAAGGTGTTCTGTTGAGGGTTAACGAGTGAAATACAACGAGAGTTCTACGAACCCATATCTTCGCCATTATTCTACGAACCCATATCTTCGCCAAATGACATAAGAAGAATATATAATATGTTAAATATTATGCTTTGTTTCATTTCTTCAATAATTTCTACGACCTGTGCAATCTATTGCATCTCTAAATTCAAGCTGCCTTTTTTTGTTCTCCACATTTCCCCTTGTTTGCATCCAAAGGATGCCATCCATGCATGATAAAGACATGTCAGTGTAGACTTACTGCATTTCAAGGAAACAATAGCAAATTGTGTGATTCTTGAACAGATGTTATGTTATGTTTCCACGTAGTGAGAAACACAATAAAATTATTGCGCAAGCAACTAGATCGATTTTCAAAACCTTTCAAATAGGACTGCATACCGTATTTCGTTATTTACATCCGTATTTCGTTATTCACAACTGGACGTTTTCAAAATCTATCCAGATGCTTGAGTAAAAGTTCTCTTGTATATATTGACGATGCTAATTATTGATTGGATTTACTTTCTGCAGGTTTCTCGACTTCAACAACATCACGAAAGTATTACCGGAGACCTTCTCAGCGCTAGAAAGACTTGCATCTCTGTAAGCCACTATATTTTGTAGTAGTCGACTGTTTTTCCACCATAGGAATATGAGCATGTTGGAAGGGCAAGGGCTGAATTGTACGGATTCAAAAGAAAGTGTTATAAATTTATTGGGTTACATATTGATTGAAATACACATTATATTTCATCCTTCCGCGGAAGTGTTCTGTTTCTGTTAGGTGCTTGTGTGTTCGCAGCTGTAATTCGCGGTGGGAATGACGGGTTTCTATGGGTCTTGTTATAATTATCTATTAGGGTGCAGATAATGCGTATCTTTTTTTAATTGTATTCTGTTTCTGAGTGTTAAAATAAAATATTTTGAAGGCCTCTCGACACCCCCATGTGGATGGCAGTGGGTCAAGATTTATGGTTTGGGTTGTTGCTAAAGAGTATGCCTGATTTTACAATTCAGACAAGAGGTCCAACGTTGCAACATGGGGGTTACTGTCGTCAAAGTAGACTAGGTTTTCAGAGAACGCAAAATGCGAAGAAGTCGCTGACCTGTTTTTTTTTACAACAACTGTTTAACAGGCGCAAGCTGACGGCACTATAACACACTACTTTCCTGAATGGTGGGGCCACTCATATTTTCGAGATCATACCGCCTGGGTAACAAAGTTTAATCGGGACAACAAGGTTATCGGCAGGACAGGACTGCAAGGCCTCTTTTCTTACATTTTCACAGACAAAGACTTGGCCTAAGATACTGTTTTGTACGCCGCGCGGCCGACGTAAGCACCAGAAGCCAAGTGCCGAAATGGTTTAACTCGGCTCGGTGGTTATTTTGCTCCAACTATTCAAAGACACAGAATTTCAGAAAACAATTTACAAATGTATCTTTTGAACAAGTTTGAGAAACATCTTTTTCAACCATATCTTGCTAAAGCGCGGGTTGTGGGTGTGGCCGAAATGCTGCCCGCCTATTGGTCCCCGCTAGGCTGTCTAGGATGGGAAATTGAGGTTCGGGGGGGGGGGGCATCCTGTATTGTGAATTATGCTTGTGACATCTTTTTCTTGTAGCATTGTTGTTAAGGTGATATCTGAAAGTTTCAGCAGCCGTTGTGATCGTCATGCGTTACACACTCTGATCTCTTGTTAACTCTAATATAGCTTTTCAACACAATTTGGCGCCCACATATACTTATACTACTACGACTGTCAATCTTACACATATTTTCTCAAAACACCTCAAACTTCAGTTCTCTAGCAGCCAACTGGATCCAGACTTTGCCGAGTGACATATTTAGGAACGTCACTGAGCTCAACCACCTGTGAGTATAGCTTTATCTACAACACATTTTCGACATGTTATGTCAACAAATATGAACTAATATCCCATACGTAACAGCTAAGTTTACATTGTCACATTTAATATGGCGCTAACGGCATGTATGATCTTCATTGACGTACTTTAGAATAACGTATTGCAGAAGCATAATAGTTTTTACCAGTAGTTTCTTAGTAGTTATCAGTAGTTCTATATGTACTAATTGTCTGTTTTTATACCATGTTTCTTCTGTTCCTGCAATTATCCCTCGGGCAAGAATTTGCAATAAACAAACGAATAATGTAAAAAAAAACCTACAAAATAAATGATTATCTGCTAAAGAATACACAGTTATGAGAGTCATTTCTGACGCATTCTTAAGGGCTTATTTTAAGTACAAGAGAAAAGTTGCAAATTAGTCTTATTAGGACAATATCTGATGTGCTCTTTGTTACTACGGAAGAAACCTTTCCCGGGGCCAAGAGTGTCTAGCGTTCTTCTTCTTCTTCCTCCTCTGAGTGACCGCTATCGTCATGTCGATCATTCTGTCACTAGGGGAGAGGTCACCAGCCAAGAGTTCAAAAGAATTTAGAGGCCCTTGCCACAAATGTTTCAGTATTTGTGGCTTCTACTGTTGTTTGAGGTAGTTAGTACAGGAATGGATAGTACAGGTACAAATACTCATTTTTCGAAGAGGAAACATGCCTAGTAGAGGTCTTGTTAGCACATCATTCCATATGCCAATTGCCAGCATTGGTACACGATGTAAAATGCTTAGAAGAGGTGTTCACTGCTGGTACTATGGGGGAAAAGATTGCTTGTAAATGTCTTGTTGTGATGCCCTTTTATATCGTATTAGACATATGTCATGGGTTAGCTATATATAGTTTCGGAGGGAGTTGCCCTTGAGCCCAGTTAGGATGACGTTGCATGTATCCAGTGTTGGTGTGGTAGACAAAATAGCCTGAGGTTCAATTACTGCGACCTTGTATGTATCCAGTGACAGCTGTGTGGGAGGAAAAAATACCCTAATGTCCGGTTAGGACGAACATGCATGTATCTATTGTTGGTACGAGAGAAAAAATACCCTAAGGTCCTGTTAGGACGAACTTGAATGTGACGGTGCGGTAGAAAAAATACTCTAAGGTTCAGTTAGGTCGACCCTGTATGTATCTCAGTGACGGTGAGGGAGAAAAATACCATGAGGTCCAGTGAAGGCAACCTATCTAGACACCATATCTAAACAACTATTATGTAACATTTTACTTAGAGGATCACCCGATTTACATTCAGATACAGACTGTAACATTTTGACAATCACCCAAACTTACGTTATTGATACTACACTGTTTGTATTAGATCAACTCCTACATAGCCTACAAAACATGTTCTTCCTTACCATTTATTGGTCCATTTTCACCCATTTGCTGTTCTCTGTTGTTTGTTGTCATGTAGTTTGTTATTGTATACTTATATGTTTGGCGATGAGTTTAAAATTAGTTATAAATAGAGTACCTCACCACCATGTCTTGTATTGTCCAAGTTGAATTGTAAATAATGAAAAAAGATTACTCACTATCGCATATGCTCAGTATTAGCACCAACTCAAATGGATTTGATAACCGTGTTGTTGTAGTTTAGATATACAACATATGCGTCTTTTACATATACACTATTATACATTCCTTCATCATTCTATATTTCTCTCATACTTACAGAAATCTGTCGCGGAATCCGATGACTGAGATCTCTGCCGATCTATTCGAGGATATTCCCTACTTACAATCTCTGTATGTTTCATCTCTTTCTGGAGTCAGAACTAAGTCTCTCGTTTGCCTTGTTTTAGTCATGGTTATACGTGATTTGTAACAGACGACCGTATACTATATTGATATTGAAAGTACATTTCTTGTTTTGTTTCTCCATGACGCTTCTACTTTGTCAGAATTGGCGTAATATCAATCAATATCCATAAAACTTTTTCTTTCTGTCTTTCTTTTACCCAGGGACTTGTCTGGATTAGAGATCACCAACATTTCTCTTGGCACCTTTGAAGGACTTCCTTGTCTGGAATATATGTGAGTTTATCTAGAACAGTATAATTACCTCTGTGAAAAATGAAAGTACACATTTTGTATTGTTTTGTCTGTATGTCTGTCACTCTTTCTGTTAGTGTGTGTGTCCACATATTTGTTCTAATTATTAAAAAAACGATGTTCCTTTCTTCAGGATTCAGGTATCATCTTTAAAATATTCTACTACATTCGGCATGGCAGATCTAGAACAGAGTGCCGAATTAGCAAATCTCCACGTTTTCTTGACATGATAAGTTTTCAAAGTTATATGCCACTAGTAAATCAAGACCCATAGTGCTGGAGAAAAGGACCCATGGCGAGAAAAGCATAATTGACCATAAAATTTATTTTTGCAAGACCTGACCACAATCGACAATCGACAGATTATCAAAATCAATCAAATTTATGTACACACACACACACACACACACACAATGAAACACTACGTCCACTTCGTATATAAATGTAATTCTTCGCATATGAAGCATAATATAAAAATTGAGCCCACATAGAAATGACTTTTACACAGAGACATCATTTAAAGTACATTATGCTCAACTAAGCCTTATTTTTAAATTCACTTAGACAAAAAAAATCAGAAGCCATAAAAGAGTCGAAAGGCCTACACACTCATATTTGGGTTTTCTTGAAAATTCAATAATAGTAACTCTATTTTCCCTCTACTTTGAAGCTACTTCAGCAAATTCCAGTACTGTGGCTTCGCCCCACACGTAAGAAACTGTCAGCCGTATACAGACGGCATCTCGTCATTTGAAGACCTGCTGGCCAATGTGGTTCTACGGACATGTGTGTGGATTGTCTCCATCGTCACGTGTACTGGCAACACCGGTGTCATCATCGGGCGTACCGCCATCAAACAAGAGAACAAAGTTCACTCTTTCTTCATCCAGAATCTCTGTGGTAGGTTTTAAGGCATTTTCTGTCTTTCGACTGAAGCCTCATATGTGTTGGTAGATTTCATAGTTATAGAGTTTAATCGTTGTTCCAACACAAAAAGAGAGATTCACCATTAGTTTTCAGTCGAAATCGTTGAGCTTCATCAGATGAATGATCTACTGCGCTAACCCCTACTAGCCATATAGGGCTCACCAACCCTATCATTGTACCATGCAGTGAACGATTCCGTCTTCCTACCACTTTTGATTTACTCCTTGCGTTATCACCCTTGCTTCTTGATAATTTGCGCAGTCAATCATTGATCTGAGGTTTCAAATGTAAATCCATGGTGAGTTTCCTTTTTCTAGTTTTTTTTTCTAGAACAAAGCTTAAACTCTTCTCTTGTGCCTTATATTAGTTACTAAATATTAAAAAAGAAGACCATGCCACTTCAAAGAAATTGATACTTATTCAAGTGTACATAACCTTAACAATGTAAGAAATCAATTTTGTAAGTAAAATGTTTTTTTTTTTCTTTTATTCAACAGCTTCTGACTTAATCATGGGGATCTACCTTCTTATTATTGGCTCTAAGGATGTCATGCTCCGCGGTGTGTATAACCAGCACGCCGAAGAGTGGAAGGTTGGTTACGGCTGTAAACTGAGCGGCTTCCTGGCCATGCTGTCCGCAGAGGTATCGGTTCTTCTCCTCACCTACATGTCCGTGGAAAGGTTCCTCTGTGTTGTCTTTCCTTATCGTGACAACAGACCTGATCGCTGGCAGGCGGGAGTGACTATACTCCTGATATGGCTAGGCGGGTTCCTGCTCGCACTCGTGCCGCTGATGGTCCCAGAGTACTTCGGGAACTTTTACGGCAGCAACGGCGTGTGTTTCCCGCTGCACCTGCACGAGCCGTACATGGCAGGGTGGGAGTACAGCGCCTTCATCTTCATCGGTATCAACTTCTCCTCCCTCCTGGTCATCATGGCGGCGTACATAGGCATGTTTATCTCCATACAGCGCACGCGCAGCTCCATAGCCACGCCCTTCTCGTTGTTGAGTGACATGTCCTTCGCCAAGCGGTTCTTCTTCATCGTGCTGACGGACTCCCTGGTCTGGCTCCCCATCACGGCTATCAAGTTCATGGCCCTAACCAGCGGGCCCATTTCAGGTTGGTTTTCTGTTACAGAAGCAAATCTATCTAGAATGCTAACGATAACACTCTGTGGGCCTGATGATAGAACATCCTTGTATTACAAAATGATTCAATTACAAAAATATGACGATCATTTTTACAACAGCCTGAAATTGCATTCGATGTCTTGAACCATGTAAGCCTGCATTGCAGGAATCTTGATCAAAAATAATGTAACACAATTCAAATGTAGAACTGAGAGGTATCGCAAGACTACACTGCCTTTTCTGGTTTATCTACTTAATGAGACATGACACGTACAGGCGTTGCCACCTACCACGGTTACCTGCTAGATTGATGTATTTATATGTTTTAACACATTAAGGAATGGATTTAATATGTGCAGGCCTAACATGTAGGCATTTTAAGTTGTATTAATAGTGTAAATTAAGTGTAAATACTTTGTAATGCCATGCTATAATTTAGCTATAAAGCTGCCACTGTATGGTTGTTTTGAGTCACCACAATAAACCATTGATTAAATTATTGAAGAAACATCTGACATTGGACACAACCGTTACTACAGGCACGACCTACGCGTGGATTGTGATCTTCGTGCTGCCCATCAACAGCGCCATCAACCCGATTCTGTACTCCCTCACCACCAAAACATTCACCACCCTCATCGACCACGTGGTCAGGGGCAGTCCGCTCAGCTGTGGGCCGGAGGTGGTGAAAGGGACACAGGGTGAGTTCCCAGGATATTTTCTTACACACAAACAAAGCTGTTACGTTTTAAAGTCAGGCACCTTTTTTGACGCATCTGACTTCGTTGATTACAGTGGGCCTGCATGGGGGGGGGGGGTCCGACAACGCTCTACGCTAAATTTCGAGAGCTCTCGATTACGCTTAACGATAGATTCCAAGTGGCTACAACGCATTAAGTAGAATTAAAAGGGTGAATACGCTCTAAGTAAAATGCGCCAATTACGCTCTACGTTGAATTAGAGCGATCCGTCTACGTTCTACGTAGAATGAAAACGGCCGATTACGCTCTACGGAAAAGGGTATGCGGGCCCTCATTACAACCTCTAGCCTCTATATGTAGCCATTGTAGGTGGCGCTTTTGCATCAGGACACAATCGTTGCTAAACTTGTATACCCCTCGTCAGTCGGTCTATCACCGGGCTTTGGATTGTCGTTTTCGTCGCAAAAGCTCCATCTACATATGGCTACATGTAGCAGCGAGAAGCGTTGCTGTAAAAAAAACTCTGAGGACGGTGTCTGATAGACATTGAAACAAAGAGCAAGCACTTGGTTGTCCAAATATCAAGAAAGCAATTGGTTGTCCAACTATCCTGCAAGCACTTATCTACGAGACGGAAATACACTTCGGCTATAATGATTTTACATATTGCTTTTTTTCTTGCTGCTAGGTGTGACTACAACTGGCGGTAACAGCACGTGTGTAACCGGCCCGACGTCGTCTTCACAGATTGGCTACCCACTTCGACCTCTCCGAGCTTATAGAGGTGAGTTCTTAATGTCTGGTTCGGATTTAAAGCTGCAATATGTAACATCGGTACAATATAAAAAGTTAATTTTCTGATCATTTCTTTACTATGTAACTTGAATCCACCCTACCCCATCGCAAAAAAATGCAATTCAGTACCTGGAGGTGCCAAAACATGGCACCTTACATGTTAAATTAGTACAGATGCACCAGATTAACCCTGGCGGGGACAAGTTTAAAAAAAACACAGCTAGCATGTTTGTTTACATTCATATATTTTGTGGTGGCACTAAAAAACTGAGTGCGCCTCATTTGGGCTTTTTTCAGCACCAAACAAAAATGTATGAATCGCGAGTAATAATATTACAATAAAACGAAGATTTGTCAATTTAAAGTTTAAACGTTTTAACGTTTTTATTTGTTATCTGAAATGATGGAAAGGTAGATATTTTTATGCGTTCCTCCGTGCAATATCCTATTTCATAGCCTTTCTTTCATATTGCGTCAAAGCTCCTAACCGGTATTTTGTTGCTTATTACAGCAAAACGCTCGTTTGAAAGTGAAATGTCAGTATCTTCCAGCTGCAACCCCAGTGTTCAAATCCAGTTTAACACTATGGGAAACGAACCCATGGCGGCTAACGCGCTCAGCATCAGATTCCACGGGCGTAGTTTGGCCGACGTGCCGGAGCATCCTTCCTGTAGCGACCCGTCCAACAGAGAAGAGGAAGAAAGCAGTGGGGACGAGACGAGTCAGAAAGACGACCAGACTGCGGTGACATCACCTGCGGACACCCTTGACACATCCGAAGGAGACACAAGTATCAACGAAGCCAACGAGAAGCCCAAAACAAATAGCAATACCTTTGTTGTCAGCACCGTCCAAGCAGAAATCTGTAACCCACCCGACTCACCGACATGTCCGCCAAACTTGAGCAAACTACCGGCTGTCCTTTGTATGGAGGAGCACGTGGGCATGGCGTCTTCTCCTACAAAACCGGCCTGCTCAGACATCAACATGGAGTCACACCCTCAAATGACTGTCTTCAATGGAAAGGGAAAAGTCACAGCTGTCTAAGAAGTCAGGAAAACCGAAGGAAAACCGAATACTTTATTTTACCTGATCTGATATTGAGCAATCTGAGTAGCACTGCGCTTCCTTTTTGGAAGTTAAAAGCATACAACGCAATTCCAGGGCGGCAAACCTGGATTCAAAATTCAAACTAGAAAAGTAACATTAGCAAAGCCAATGCATGGTGCTTACAATCACCTGGTTTAGTCCAACAAAGTACTGCTTTGTTTTTACTCAAATTCAAATACATCTACGTGTATGTTGAGCAGGCTCTCCAATACTGTTCTGCTACACAATGTAACCCAACACCACAGCACAAGTTACCATGGTAACAGACGTCTGGTCCAGGTCAATGACTTTATTTTTTTTGGAACAGATGGAGGAAGACGAAGAAACTGAGCTGAGCACAAACATTTTTTTCCTTCTGTGAAGGTTATCATAAAAAGACAATTTTCTGGTAATGTAGTAAAATTAATCAATCCTAGCCCATAGCATACTAATGTCTGTGAAGCAAGAATGCGATGTCACTGAAGCAATTCGGTTGCTTGTTTTGCATAGTAAGATGATTCTAGCTATATTGGACGGTACCAAAAATTAAGAGACGCCTCACTAAGCTTGTTAATGGGTTATTTCAAACGATTCAAGTATGAAAAGTTGAAAATGTGCTAAATGGCAGTAAATATTAATATCAGACAGATTTCTTTATCTCAATTTCTTTTTGTTTTGCCGCCCTGAAATTGTAATGTCTAAATATCAGTAATATTTAGTATCCTGTATAAAATACATTGTTTGTTGCTGTGTTCGCATAATGTTAATATAGGTATTGTGTGGCAAAATGCAGTTTATATTTATCATGTGAGAGTTGTGACTATCGTCATTTAAATTCTTAAAGAAATTGTATATTTGAAATATTCTAGACAAATTGCTTCTCTTTTCTGTCTGTAAAATCTTGTGGTAAAGTGTTTGATACAATACCTTGTCATTTCGATATTTGTTGTGTTGTGATACTTATACGTATGCATGTTACAACTATACCGTCTGCAACATGTGTTATTGGGTGCAACTGCAGTCAAACCTGTCTAAGATGACCGCCAATGGGACGGAAAAAAATTGTATTTTTTGCTAAAAGCAAGGCGAATACAAGACAATCCAAGCAAAGATGTGGGGTACTGTGGCTCAGCGGGAAAGTGCTCGACTCGGAACCAAGAGGTCTGAGGAGTATTGTCTTGTCGTGTATTCGTCCTCTGCGTTGGTGGTGGCATAAATAAGTTGATATAACTTGAGTGTGCGGTCACCATGTCTAGTTATGAAATGTTGGAATATAAAAAAAGCAAAGACAATTAAGACAGAGAACAAGAGACCGCAGCTAAATTTTCACCAGATTTACAGTAGACTGCCCCTTTGACCATAAACTGACCCAGTCGGTGCCATTTTACATTGCGCAAAGACTGACATGCTGTCGAAGTCAATAGGAAACTGGCCAATTCCATCAGAATTTGGTGCTAGTTACCATAAAAAAGTTTTCCTCCGCACCTTTGAAAATAATGCGTCATCATTGGAAGAGATTTGGCCATATGCGGTCCCAAGTAGTCCCGGTTTAGGCAGGTTTCTTGATGCTTTCGTCTATGTGGAATAATCGGGACCTAGAAAAGGTTATGGCCAGGTGAACGACTTATACATAATATTGTATAGAGGTGGTCACTTGGGCAAGTTTGACTGTACTATAATCTACGTGTCGGCAACATACATGTAAATTATCTTACATGTAAGTATGATTGTTTTATGTTTGTGAGTGCATTACGTCGGTAAACATATGTTTACCACTAAGTCTTGTAGAAAAGTTCTGGTGCAGTAAAAGTATTACAAAACCTACGGTTAAGGAGCACATTTAACCTGAAAACAGCCATATTCCTGATACAGATCTCCATTTATTACGGCATATATAATACAAACTGTCATCTGATCATCTTAATGTCCACGTGTCTCTTTCGTTATAGTCATTCCCTTAGATACATTTCAGTAGTCATTATTCCTGACTTTCCAGCAATATATACGAAAATTTGTTGCTAATAAAATACATATAGTGACATCATAAAACATATACATACAAAGGTTTCCGCCGGTTTCGTGTACTTAGGTGTTGTATTATACGACAAATGATTCGGAAAGAATTCATTGTTACTGCTTTATTGCATTTTTGGATGGTTGGTTTCTGATTCGTAAAAGATTAGATAAAATTGCCAGTGCACCTAATCCAAAGAATCCATACAATTGTAGCATCCGTAGATTCATTCTGCAAGAAGGCAATGTCATAGAACCATGTCATTATCATACCGGATACATATTCACTCATTCGAGACTCATATCTAGAGATAATCTTGTATCACTGGTTCTTTTACCTTCCACCACCCCTTTTGCAAAAAACAAACTCGACCAAATAAGCCACAACTTTAGTCACAAGGTCAGACAAGCTACACGCATCAACGTGTGACAATTATTATTATAATAGTTTTTCACAATTCAACTCTTTGATGCCTACTGTCTGACATGTTACACTGAATGAACCACAACAAAACAGCAAGACCTTTGTATCCATATTTATCCATCTAGGAAGTATATAAGAGACACACAAATATATTATATAATAGTCCATCCTCTGAATATGAATCAGCACGTCACCGTACGCGTACGGACAATATTTCAACGACATGTTTTGGCACGAATCGGTACAATAACAAATACGCCAACAATGTTGACAACTTTTCAACTACTGTGACTGAGAGAATAACACAACACTGGCGAACGACTACGAAAAAAGGTATTATTTTCTATTCTTTTTCTCTGATTATATTGGTTTTGAACAATGTAACATTCACATTCGGTTGAAATATATATTATTTATATTTATATTTGTCAATACACATAATACCATACTCAGAAAACAATAAGACAGAGAATATCTTTATTGTTCCATTGCCTTTGTCTGTGTGTATGCTTGTGTATATGTCTCATTTTTGTCTGTATCTTATTTCCCTTCTCAATGCATGCCTTTCGCCTTATGGTAGCCGTGGTCAAAATGCATAGACAAAAATTTAGCGTGCAATAATCTATAAGCAATTCTAAAAAAAAACTCGTGAAAAATATTCCGATGGTACAACATATTCTGTATGGGCTTTGGATAGCAAATAGCTTTTCCATCTCCAAAAGAAGTGATAAAATTTTGTGCATCCTGATTACTTTCAACGTTTCAAGACCCACGTGAGTTTCGTTCCGTCTACGTGGACGCAATAACTGAGTGCGTGGGTTGATTGTCTTGGTACGTAGGTAAGTGTCGGCAAAAATAAGGTTAAGTTCGAGTATGGCTCACTAGCGACTTCTTTTGGTATAACAGTAAAGCTTCCCGGTTCCCTTTTTTTTGCTCTGAAGATGGCACGGCCACCAAATCAGTGTGATAGATAGTTCTTGTGAGGGACAGAGAAGTGTCAAAAGTCCCTCCGATCAGGAATTTCTTGAAGTGCAGGTGAGTTTTTGTATGGAAGTTAAAATCTGCCGAACTAGAATCTGGAGTTTGGAGTTAGGCAGATTCTAACTCCAGATACTAGTAGTATGGGCGAATCGGCATGGTAAATTGTACTAACATTTCTATGCCAAATGAAAGAAATTGTCTAAGATAAACATTTCTAGATCTAAGTTATGCTGAACATGATATAATTTTCATCATTAAAAAGTAAAAGTAGGTTTTCTTGGTTTCTGGTATGGTAGCGACAGGTGTTACTTTTAGATTAGGTAGTGAAGAAATTGGTAAGGAGCAAAATATGCAAATCAGGGCGTCATTTGCATAGTTGGTAAGAAAATAATTGTTGTTGGAGGTACGAGATCCTGGATCTCTCGTTGCCTATTGATCACAACATATATTTTTTCTTATTTTACATTACATGCCGGTAAACAAACGACCACGCACATACACAGTTTGATTTGATCAATACATTTCAGCACTCGTGGACAACATCTTCGTATTCACCAAGAGTAATCTACATACACCAGTATATTTGAATGCCACAGCCTACAATGACGAGCTGTACTTTGTTGTACATGGTTGCATTTTGCTACCCACAGATTATTGACACCGTTATTTTTTACTCGTCTTGTACACGCTATCAGCACAAAGGCACCACTACACCAAACATGACACCAATATACAAATGACATTATTGATACTTTGTGAAATCTACTCTCTCAGGCTATCGCATTATTTGTTTCCGTGTCGTAGCCAGACGTTTCTGCACTGACCTCAGCTTCTGTAACAATGATATCAAGTGTGTTTCCGGTGTTGTTATCTTGGGGAGTGGCTCCGTCGTCGTTCCCGTAAGCTTCGTCCTCTGGAGCAGAGGTTCCCGAACCGGCAGAGTTGCCTTCTTCAGCAGCGTCGTACCGTATTTGCTCACAGGCAATGTCAACGTCATGTTGGATCTCCACACCGTCTTGCATCTTGGTTTTCTCGTTCTCTTGGACCACTGTGACGTTTTCGTCGTTTGACGACTCGCTGTCGTCGTCTTTCCCGTCTGGGTTGGACTCTGCCTGGCTGACGGTGGACGGCAGCTCCGGCACGTCGTCCAGGTTGGGCTTGAGCAGCCGCATGCCCAGTACGGAGGGGATGGACGGGTCGCGCCCGATCCCGTTGGTGCTGTTCTGTTGGCAGCTGGATGTCGTTACTGACACCTCGAACTCAGTTGAGCGGCTTACTGTAATAGATAATACGGTAATACATCCTGAGTGGTATCCTGTAAGGCTTCTGTCATACCTAGCCAAATATGGTCTACCGAACACCAGCTTAACTTTCCCCAACCATGGTTAGGAGTAGGTCCGCGGCAAGGTCGGCTGAGTCAGCTGGTGTTTGGGCAGGTCGGCTACTGTTCAGCTGCGCTAGCCGAATGTTAGAAAATGTTGGGAATGCGTTCAGACATAATTGGCTGGTATTTGGGAGTAGGTTGGGGTAGGTTGGAGTGGTTGCAGTGAAAATTGACCCAAATGTAACGTAAAAATTCGAATCAATCTTAACTCAAATTCAATCCGTTTCATAGCCTAAACCTGTAGAGACTGCTCAGGTGTTTGGGGCGAAGTTCTGCATGTGTGACAGGGACTTAATGCAGCAAACTGGTGCATCATAATGTGAGACTTTCGCTTTTTCGATTTGATTTATTTGTATTAAAGTTATGACCATTCACGGTTCTGAAGCTACACAGAAACCCTACACAGCTGTCAGAAACACGTTGCCATGGCAACACGAAAAATTATTAATTTATCCCACTGCTATGAAATTGTTAACAACAATATTTCAGGAAAAGTCACCAAGTTTGGTTGCCCTAGCACTAGCCGTTTGGACGCTATATGACATCAAAGTTGGCGCGGGCACTTTTACCCCACTCCCCAGTCTAGATAGGGTTAAATGTACAAAAATCTGTCACTGTACTTCAAAGTCTGAATATGCAATGGCTCCAGTAGAAAATGGTAGTTCTTGAGGTACTTACCGTGCATGCCTCGGTAGTTTCTGAGCGGTCGGAGTGGATAGGAGGAGGACAGGGCTGTTGAATAGGTGTTTCCAGTAGTTGTCCCAGCTGCAATCAAAGTAAGTATGTCATATATTGCGGTTATATTGCCAGATAGCTGATGAAGACCGAGTGATTCGCTCAAAATTTCCAGTGAGTCAATTTTCTTGACTTGGAGAATGGTTTACTTGTAGTCATTTTGTTTATATTCCATCATTTGATCAAAAGATGTGGTAAAATCCACACTCATTTTTTTCAACTTATTTTAAGCCGCCAGCAACATAGGGGACAACACACTACTCGTTTCACCTGAGTGAAGTGTAGAAAGTCGTGTAAAGTGCCTTTCCCAAAGGAACAAGATCTCGGGCCCTCTTGGTTTTGATACGAACACTCTAGATACCGTTACGCCGTACGAACTCATTCTAATTGCAGTAAATTGTGGCAATTTTCAGTAAAAAAAAGACGTAATTATATACTATACAAAGTGGAAGGCCTAAGACAAGTCTTACCATCGGGGGCCTTCTCGTAATCAGGTCGTGACCGCAGACTCAGCGGGCTTCCCTTCACGATGTTCTCCAGCAGGGTGGTGAAGGTCCTGGTGGTGAGGGAGTACAGGATCGGGTTGATGGCGCTGTTGATGGGCAGCACGAAGATCACAATCCACGCGTACATGGACCCTGCAACAACAGGCGGGTGGGATAAGGCCATGTTGATTTGATTTATGAATGACATCCTCTTGAAATCCCCAAACTTATGTGAGCAGGCGAATAGATAATGTTTCGCAAAAAAAAGTTGCATTCCTTATGAAACCTACGTGGTCACGAAGGTTGAACAAATAACTATATACTCACAATATGGTATGGAAAATAATAGACTCTTCATTTTCGTTTGTTCGCATTTTCTTCTTTTCCTTTGGAATTGATTTTTAAAATTCTTCGACATTAGTACATTTTTTAAACTATACTGCATACATTTGCTCAATTTTCAGCTACTCAGCTGATATTGGGATTCCCTATATTACCTGATATTTGGGTTCCCTATGTTACCTGATATTGGGATTCCGGCCAGAGCTATGAACTTGATGACGGTGATGGGCAGCCAGACTAGCGAGTCCGTCAGTACGATGAAGAAGAACCGCTTGGCGAAGGACATGTCGGTGAAGAGGGTGAGGTGCGTGGCGATCTGCTGCCGCGTGCGCTGGATGGATATAAACATACCCACGTAGGCAGCCGCGATCACCAGCACGGAGATGAAGTTGACTCCGAGGAAGACGAAGGCGCTGTACTCCCAGCCGGTCATGTGCGGCTCGTGCAGGTGCAGCGGGAAACACACGCCGTTGCTGCCGTAGAAGTGATCGAAGTAATACGGGACGAAGAGGGGCACCGCGGACAGCAGCAGTCCGAAGAACCAGATGAGGCAGATGGCGACGGCGGCCTGGCGGATGTTAGGCCGGTTGTCGCGGTACGGGAACACGACGCAGAGGAATCTCTCCACAGACATGTAGGTGAGCAGCAGGACGGAGACTTCTGCGGACAGCATGGCCAGGAAGCCGGTGATCTGACAGCCCAGGCTGTTGGTCCAGGCGTGGGTGTGTCTGTGGTACTCGCCGCGGAACATCATGTCCTTAGTAGCGATGACAAGCAGGTAGACACCCATGATGAAATCAGACGCTGCATCAACAGAGACAAAAACAATAACAGTAATGATACCAATTAAAGCCAGTCTACTCGAACTTTAACTTCAAAATGATATAAATAAGTAGTTATACACGGCGTAAAGAAAGGACTTGGTCGGATACTCGCGTACAAGATGTTTTATGAGCAGCGGATTCACATAAGCACAAGTGCTTCCGATCTAATGCTCAAAAATCCATATGAATAAAATAATATACATGTGCATGGTACATGTATCTTTTGTTCAACCTTCATGACCGCAAGGATTTCATAATGGCGGCTCCCTTTTTAAAAACTTGTTTTATTCACACCTTCGTATCAGTTTTGCCGTTCCCGACGATTTCATCCTTATAATCAAATTAACATAGTTTGATGATGACACAACATGACTGATGGACATCTACTCACCACAGAGGTTCTTGATGAAGAGTGAATGGACCTTATTCTCCTGCTTCATTACCGTTCGACCAATCATGACGGCTGTATTTCCCAGGCATGTCACTATGGCAATGACCCAGACACTCATGCGCAGTACCACATTAGCCAGGAGGTCTTCAAACGACGACAAACCGTCAGTTTTCGGCTCACAGTTCCGCACATGTGGTGCCAAAAAGCAGTAGCGGAATTTGCTGAAGTAACTAAATAAAAAACAACGTCAGTTAAACAAATTTAGTACTAAAATCAAAGAACCCACATATTATAGAATAAGTGGGTAAATTCGCCTTCCATTGCCTAAAAAGAAGAAGTCAAACCCAAAAAAACTAGTACCATGTATGTTGTAGAATATAATGTAATGTTAAACGTAGTCCCACATATCATTGTATTTTCTTACATGTTGTTTGTAACTGCAATTAGCCCTCGGGCATGTATTTGCAATAAACCTTTGAATCAAGAGTTATTGTGAGAGTCCCATACGCTTCTAAAACTAACTAGTTTTAATTTTAATAATCTTTCGTTTGATGCGTTTTAAAGTTATGCCAGTTTTTTTTGGAGGTGGTTGTTATAACATAGAGATTTTTAATTTAATAATGAGAAGTGTGAAAATGGCAAAGCCCATGCACATACACGTGTTATTAATGCCACATGTATAATTTTACGTTTCCTAAAAATGTACAACAAATGATAACGGTTTCCTTCTAATCAGGCACATCACCATGCACTTGATGTACGTCAAAGTCAACCTGTTCTGAGCATAACGTTTCAGAAAAAGTCGTCCGACTTAAAATCAATATCTCAAAAATAGTGTTTATTTTGGGTGTCCAAAAGAAAAGATATTGTCAGAAAGCACAAGCCTATGTCACTGCAAGATTATTATGTAAAATTTCGAGCATGCGCTGCATAATGTTCAGTGCAAAAGGACCCTTTACTTTACTACATTACATGCTGCAGTAGTATCATAGCTAGCAGAAACGTTTTATATGAGATTGAAAAATGTAAGTTGTAACATACCAGTTGTCGCAAAGGGTCCAATTTTTCTTTTTTTTTAAATTCAGTTATACCAAAATTAAAAACTAGACAAAAATATTACGTGAACAAGATTTTATTTGCTTGTGGTAACTCTAGCATTCTAAGACTGTAACAATAGCCTTCATATCAGGCTAAACAATGGATACTATAGAGAGAAAGTTAAGTAACATTTAATTACATGTGATCCAGCGATGTAAGATCTTTAAACATCCGACGGTTGATGTTCTTGATCGTTATTCCTTTAAGGTCCCTGAAACAGAATGAAGACACAATAAAGAGTAAATTCCTACGGAAGCATACTTCATAACGCGTGCTTTTCATTTGTATTCTTTTTACTTTGGAACCAAACGTTGTCATCAGACCGAATTCTGTGAGGCTAATTTAATTTGCACTGAGCAAATAAACTTTTTAGGAAAATAGACTCCTTGGTATTGAAAATGAATTCAATAATTGGCGTGTATAACGAAAGTCAAGACTAGTATATATTTATATATATATATATATTTGAACTTGATCGAGAGTCGTCAGATAAGCGGGAACTCTACGATCCAACACGATCTCGACGAGTTGAATAACTGGTCAACGGTCCACAGAATGCAGCTTCACCCGAAAAAGTGCAAGGTTATGTACCTACACTTTTCGAGAACTGTACCACCACTACCACCACTCAAAATAGATGACCACCCCCTACAGGAAGTGATAGTGGCGAAGTTACTGGGCTTGCACCTGCAAGCAGACCTCAGATGGGACGTTCATGTGGAACACATGGTGAAGAAAGGCGGCACGAGGCTGTTCCTACTTAGAAAACTGAAGACTTTCCGATTATCTATAGAGGACTTACTCACAATCTACACAAGCTACGTCCGACCAGTGTGTGAGTACGCAGTACCAGCGTGGCATCCAGGCCTTACACAAGCACAACGTAACCAGCTGGAGAGAATCCAACGCCGTGCCGTCAGAACTATCCTTGGCAAAAACTACACAAACTATGCTGACGCCTGTCTCCTACTTGGCCTCGAGACTTTGGAACGACGGCGAGACCACCTCTGCTTGACTTTTGCCAAAGAACTCTTACAATCTCCCGACTACCGGCATTGGTTCCCTCCCCGCCGTGGGGACATCAGTGGACGTACAACACGGTCCAGTAACCAGATTGACTGTTTTAGAACAAGAACCGAACGCTTTAGAAACAGCGCACTACCATACATGGTTAAGTTACTTAATAACTCTAAAACGGCAATGTAAGAGTAATCTGTTGCAAATGTTTTACGACAGCCTTTTTTTACTGCGTAACGTTTAACATGTATATTGACTATAAATCCATTTTCTAAAGCAGAGGAATATTTTACGATTTATAAATTTTAACAATATTTAATAATATGTAATAATTTTTAACAATAATACCCATATTTTAATGACATTTTGTGACCTCGGAGCAATTCAGGCAGCCAGTATGGCTGCCTGCGAGTCTGTTGTCAATGTGATGGTAATTGAAATTGTGTATGTCTGGAGTTTTCAATTTGAAATAAACCATTCTATCTATATATTTCTGCGTATTGCGTATTTCTTTCGCCTTAACTGCAATCGTCTATGCAACAGACCAGACTGCAGTACCACTCTCCCCTGGTAGGTGGTACTATAGACGTTTCCTTTAATGTCTATGACAATACATATTTATTGGAGTTCAACCTCTCCTTCAGCTGTATACCTAAGTGACCGCTAGCATAGTCTTCCAGACACAATTACATAAAATACATAAATAACATCGACGTATATTATATGCAAGGATTTCAAAATAACGGTATCACAATTTGTGCTTCAAGAAATATTTAAGTAACCTTGTTGAAAGTGAGCCTGGAGTCCAGCCTCGTTAGCTTTGGCAGATCGACTGTGGGGGTAGCGGATCTTGGGGAGTGGGCCAAAGCTAAAAAGGCTGAAATCCAAGCTAACTAAAAATGTGCTATCTTTAGAGTCTATTAAAAAATCCTTAAAAAAACAGCGTGTAATGTGGAAATATTGTACTTACAGTGATGTCAAGTTACCGAGTCCATCAAACAGTCCTTCTTTGAATTCCGAGAAAGGGTTGAAGGAAAGGTTTCTAGAAGGTGAAGATTAAAAAGTTATTGATTCGTTTTTGATGCATCATGCATATGTTCATTATCATATTATGTTAAATTTTATACCATTGACCATTGACCCAGTACAGTATTGACGTCACACTTCAGAGAAGCCACGTGACAAGCCTCACTGGGTCAGTCTACTGAGGAAGACCAGAGTAACTAGTAGAAAGCTCTGGGTCAGGACAATTCCTTGTGTTGGAACAACAGTTTTAACTTTAACTAGACAAGTAACTGCATAATTTTTACCTTCGGACATGTTCTGCCCTGTTAATTTCTTACTCAAAAACATTCGCATACACGTACTACTAGTATATGGGGACAGGAGCAGAGCAGACCATGAAATTACAACATTATGTAACCCAACACCAGTCACCATGGTGACAGACGTCAACAAATCATGTCATTGGCCAGGTCAGAGGTTAGTGTTTGGAACAGAAGAGGAAGAAACTGAGTAAAACAATATGTTTTCCTTCGGTAAACATAAATATGTTAAATGTTTTTCTTGCCATATCAAAAAAGGCACTAGAGGGATAAGGATCGATACTCACAAGCTATTTAGATGTTGGAGACTTCTGAAAAAATCACTTGGAAGATGACTGATCTTGTTCCCAGCAAGCGACCTACAGTTGTATAGCCATCTTTTATTAATATTGCATCATTATATTGAATTATCATAATAAATTCATTTTATATTCACGTATTGCATCATGCGAAAATAGAGAGAAACTAATGTTTTACTTCTTTTTAATTTTGAGATTTTTGATAAAAGAATATCTTTTAAGGATTTCGATTTTTTCTTCATCATACAAGAAACAAGTTTTTTTTTTACAAAGATGTAATTTAATGGGTGCTGCATGATCTGCGAATATAAGTTTACTGAGCAGATCACATATATCTGATTACACAGGCCTAGTAATTACACACATTTCACCATTATGTGGGTTCTTGTTGCCCAGTATTTGGCCCGGAAACCAGTGGTACTCGGTTCGAATCGGCCATCCTTCTCGGGAAAAGTACTTTGCACGACTTTTCTCACTCCACACGTATGTATATGAGTATCTGACTTCGGCCGGGGAGGAAAAGGCAATGGAAAGAGAGGGTTGGGCTCTGCCGTCCAGTCCCATACTCTAGACACAGTGGACAAAAAGCTACACACTGCTCCTACGGCCTTAAATAAGCTGTGGGACTAAATGTACATTCACCTTAAAGTTTATACTAATTGTATTTAAAACTCATTTGATAATATAGACATTAAGTAGCAGAGAACTTACAAATCCTTAAGGCTGAACATTTGGTCGAAAACTCCTTTCTCCAGCACGGAAATGCTGTTGTAATCAATTTCCCTGTAATTAAACAAATGACTGCTAAATTCTACATTAAAAGGCTTCATATATCTATCACTTGGGTTGATGCTATGGTTACATAAACATATTGGTGCAAAATTGTTTTGAATGGGGCTTTATATCATAGGCTAAGATGCAATACCAGATTCATTAAAAACTATTCTCTCAATTTGAACAAAACTGGGCCTAAAAATTGTTCTTCTTTTGTGTCACGTGTTTCGTTCTTGCAAATAAAAAGCATGAAAAAAGCATGATTGTGTTTTTTTTGTTTATCTAAAGAATCTCCGATTAGTGATAATACATCACTTTTCTTCTTGGAGTCCTCTTACACACATACAATGCAACGTTATATCATTACTTACTCTTTCATACCTGAAGATATGATAGCCTTATCCTGGAGTCCAGCCTTGTTAGCTTTGGTCCGTTCCGCAAGACCCGCTACCCCGGCGGGGATGCGGATCTTGGGAAGCAGACCAAAGCTAGCAAGGCTGGCCTTCAGGCTATGATAACCTACAACATCTTTTTTTCATTCATCAAAACATAAAAACATAACAAGGACAGTGTGACGCTGCACTCAAGTTTACAACTTATATTAACAGCGCCACACACCAAAAAGTACAATTAACATTTAAATATACAAAGTTGACATATCTGTGCGCCGTAGTCCCACCACCCCAAGACATTAAAATGTGAAATTAAATGCTAACTATTTGAAAGGTAACCTCCTATATCTAATTGGCGGAAAAGCACCCGCCAATCAGAGCTAGGAGGGGAATTTAGGCCCATTAACAATACGTAGTATTTGGACTTCTATATCTAATTGAGTGTTAGAAACAGTCAAGCAGAGCTAGAAGCGCTTGGTATCTCCAATGTAAACCTGAGTGAGTTGCAACCTACAACATTAATATTTGAGGATGAAAAAGGTTTGTAATTGCTTACAGCATTCCTAGATGCTCACACCCGACAAAGGCGTTTCGTCGAAGAATCTCTATCCGGTTTCCCTGGAGAAGGCTGTGATTTGGAAAGAGAAATCGTCAGACTATTGCTGGGTCTTAACCATTTTACGTCGATGAAGGTTAAACATCCAGGTAATAAGATACGCCAAAAACAGTTACAAGCAACTGGATATGATTTTAGAAACGGTCAGACGTTTCAGGTAAGATGAATCTGATTTTGAGACCTCTCTAGTGCCACTGACGAAAGGTAGTGGATGCTACCTGAAACGTCTGACCGTTTTCAAACTGTATCCAGTTGCTTGAGCGCATTTTTGGCGCATAACAATATTAATTTATCCTAATACTATTGTTCATAGCTACTTTAAATCACGTTTCGCATTAAGACAGTACATTTTATAGATATCAAAGTATATTATATTTTGGCAGATTTGTGGTATGAGCCAGTCAGAAAAGAAAAGTGGCATTTTTTTAATAGCCAACATCAACTAACGGGACAAGAGAACGTTAACCCTATTCAGACTGCCTGTCATGCCCATTGCATGGCAACACAAAATAAAATCAGGAACTTATATGATTAATATGAAAATGTTCCTAAATACAAAATGTATATTTTAGGAAAAGTCACCAAATTTTACGGTTCTAGCGCAAGCCGTTCAGGAGCTATCTTTGATGAAAGTGGGCTTTACCGTCTCGAAAGCGCCTCGGAGTAGCAAGCAATTTGTTGCGTGTTTAAAATTTTTTGTCAAAAACAATGATTTTCACTAAGACAATTTAATATAAGTCCAATACTTACAGAATACCTAGAGAAGGAAGGTCTTCACATATAGGCCCGGCTTGCAATTCCACGATACGGTTTTCAATAAGCGACCTGAAACAGAGAAGAACCTTGCTACTATCAGAGCTGCAATTGGCACAAGAATTTAGCTTCTACAAAACAGTTCGCCCGAAAGAGTAAATCGGCCAAAAAGACTAATAACATGCCGAGAGAGTCCGCTAAGCTGGCGTGTTACGCCTTAGTGCAGTTATATCGGTTGTACAGATACAGAAGCTGGTGTGTTACGTCAAAGGGTGGTTATACAGGTTGTACAGATACAGAAGCTGGTGTGTTACGCCTCAGTGCAGTTATACCGGGTCTACAGATACAGAAGCTGGTGTGTTACGCCTCAGTGCAGTTATACCGGGTCTACAGATACAGAAGCTGGTGTGTTACGCCTCAGTGCAGTTATACCGGGTCTACAGATACAGAAGCTGGTGTGTTACGCCTCAGTGCAGTCATGCCGGTTGTACAGGTACAGAAGCTGGTGTGTTACGCCAAAGGATGGTTATACCGGTTGTACAAATTCAGGAGCTGGTGTGTAACTGTTATATCGGTTCTACAAATACAGAAACTAGTGTTTTACGCCTCAGTATGGTTGTACCGGTCAAAAATACAGATATAGAAGCTCATGTGTCACATCTTAGTGTAGTTATACCGGTTATACAGGTACAGGAGCTGGTATGTTACGCCTGAGTGTATGTAGTTATACTGGTTCTGCAGGTATAGAAGCTGGTGTGTTACGCCTTAGTGCTGTGATACCGGCTGTACACCTTCAGGGGCTGGTGTGTTACGCCTCAGTGTAGTTATACCGGTTCTATAGATACGGGTACTTACAGAATATACAGCTCTCCCATTCCGGAAAGAGCACCACGGCTGAGTGACGTCAGACGATTTCTCTCTAGATACCTGCAGACCGAGATGACATAATACATCTCAGATGACATAATAAATAAACCATATCGATAAAACTTCAACCTCAATTCGATGGTTTTCCATGAAAGGAATCTAATACATGTACTTGATGGCATGCAGGTGAAACATAAACAGTTACCAAGCACAGATCTAATCTGCATACTAAGCACGAATAAAAGAACTCATTACTGGTAAATGGCAGGATTTTTATATATATATGTGTAATCAATAAACTTAATGCATAGATTTTGGAAGAATTTACAAAATCTGTAAAATGTGGAGGTATGAGCTTGCAAAACTGTAGTACTTGATTCAAAATAAATGGCTGCAAAATTAATGCATTACGCAGAGCATAGCTAAAAGGTATCAGACGAGCGGGAAACATTCAAAAATTGATCATATATTGAATAATGTGTAAACGGAAGGGCCATTAAACACTGGACTACTCACAGCCATTTGAGACTATGGAGATCTTGAAAAGTTCCTGGTTCTATCGTCGTCAGTTCGTTGTCCTGCAGAAAGCTGTGCATAGATGTATTAGAGGTAAGAAAAAAGCCCGGCATTAATTTATTTCAAGTAGTACTGGTGTATTATGGCAAACTATTCTATGACAAACTATTCTAATAGCACAACAGTCCCAACCCGAACGCTGAACAGAAATTGACTTCCAAAAAAAATTTCCTGAAATGGAGTAAAATAAATCTTATAAACTTACAGTTTTGTCAGGTTGAATAAGCCTGAGAACGCGTCAGGCTCTAGAACCGCCAGTCCGTTCCTCCCGAGATTTCTACATTCAAGACAAACAAGAAAGGAGCAACACTTTTTTTTTTATTGTCCAAACAGTACCCGTGCAGTCGCAGCCTTTATACGGCTGAATTGATGCAGGGTATTACATAATAATCAAGACAAATCACAACAATCAAATAATACACATATTTGTTCCACAAATTTTTGTGGAACTGTCGCAAGGGTCTATGCGGCAGCCATTCGGCGCCAGGTGATCTCAATATGACTTTCCCCAACCGAAGTCAGGTACCCATTCACACCTGGGTGGAGTGAGGAAATTCGTGTTAAATGCCTTTCCCAAGGGCATGCACAACGTCGGGGCGCATGTGCACACATACCCTGGGTACGACTCGGAATGAACCCGGGTCTACCGATTCATAGTCGAACATTCTAACCGCTACACCACACGAGGCCACATTGAGGTGCGTTTATGCTGTGTCTGTGTATATAAACTATAAACTATACACAGACAGAGAGAGACACAGAGAGAGACACAGAGAGACAGAGAAAAGACTCTTTTAACACAACCAAATCTTTATACTGGCGACGTTTCAGTGACTGTCTGTCACCTTCCTCAGTTCCCTGTAATCAAGCATATGTGTATTATGTAAATATTGTACGTTTGGGAATGGATCTATAGCAGTGACACCTGTGCTGCAGTGCAATGTGAACCAGACAAAATTGCCCTGAGGAAGGTGACAGACGGTCACCAAAACGTCGGTTGAATAAAAGACTTGTTTGTGTAAAACGAGTCTCTTTACTCAGTGTCCTACCAAGCTGATGAAACTATTCACGGACTCCCTGTCGTTAGAGATCTGCGATTTACGTTCAGCAATAAAAAATATTCGTAATATTCGTATTGCGCTACTATCCATTGTTGTAGTCGAACAAAATGTATGTGATATGCGTTTAATGATTGTTGCCATTTGAAACGGCTGTTGCCATATAGCTGACTGGTAGATGCCATATCCGAGGGTATCATAACTTCCTTGAGGGGCAAACACATTTACAAGGTATAATATGCAACCTTTTGATTGCAAATGTACGGCCATTATTGTGAAAAATAGAAAATATAGTGAAAAGTACAAGCCCGGATTCAAACCCTGGTCAAAAAGCGTGATCCTAAAACCCTATAAAATAGTACACATCACGTGGACGCAGATCGCTAGAGGTCTAGCACACGGAAGGTTTGCCGCTCTGCAAGATGGTATCGACCGTTTCAAATGGCAACGACCGTTTCCCAGACGGAAATAATCTTTGGCGATTCTACCGGTAGAGGTCCTATAAATTGAAGACTAGGTCAAATCTGATCGGGCTCTCTGCCGAATAAAGAGACTCTTTTTACACAACCGAGTCTTTATACAGCCGACGTTTCGGTGACCGTCTGTCACCTTCCTCAGGGTAATTCTGACTGGTTCGGATTGCATTACGCGCGGGACCGCAATAATGTAAATACAGTTTCCTGTAATCAAGCATATGATTGTGTAGAGCTAGAAGTAAATATTGTACGTTTGGGAATGGATCTATAGCAGCGCCACCAGTGCTGCAGTGCAATGTGAACCAGTCAGATTTGTCCTGAGGAAGGTGACAGACGGTCACCGAAACGTCGGCTGTATAAAAGACTTGGTTGTGTAAAACGACACTCTTTACTCAGTGTCCTACCAAGCTGATGAATCTATTCACGGACTATCTATGGTTAGAGATCTGCGATTTACGTTCAGCAATAAAAAAATACTCTGGTTTTATGCACTACTATTTGAATGATATCAATAGCTACCAATCATGTGATTATCGGGATCGGGATCTCGACCGATTTTACCAGATCGTAATCTCTTTACTCGGCAGAGAGTCCGATCAGATTTGACCCAGTCTTCAATTTATAGGACCTCTACCGGAAGAATCGCCAAAGATTATTTCCGTCTGGGAAACGGTCGTTGCCATTTGAAACGGTCGATACCATCTTGCGGAGCGGCAAACCTTCCGTGTGCTAGACCTCTAGCGATCTGCGTCCACGTGATGTGTACTATTTTATAGGGTTTTAGGATCACGCTTTTTTAACCAGGGTTCGAATCCGGGCTTGTACTTTTCACTATATTTTCTATTTTTCACGATAATGGCCGTACATTTGCAATCAAAATTGTTGCATATTATACGTTGTAAATGTGTTTGCCCCTCAAGGAAGTTATGATACCCTCGGATATGGCATCTACCAGTCAGCTATATGGCAACAGCCGTTTCAAATGGCAACAATCATTAAACGCATATCACAGACTTTTTGTTTGACTACAACAATGGATTGTAGCACAATACGATCAAACGCGTTGCCCACAAAAAATCCTTACTCACAGATAGATCAGCATCGTGAACTTGATGAAAGTGAAGTCTGGTAGACGTTTGATATTGTTGTCTTGCAAATATCTGCAACATACATCAAAGAAACTAGTGAAGCCTACATCTGTCTGTTAACAAAAGAAGAATTCTTACCCAATCTCTTTCTCCATAAAAATGGATCGTCTCAATTTCTCCCTTTTAATTACAAGGTAAAACATTTCAAAGTAACTTCTCCAAAAAGTGAAATGCGGCAGAGTGAAATGGATCCTTCCCAAATAACAAAATAAATGCTCCTCCTATTCAAGAATGGACTTTTCCAGAGGCACCCTTATGAAATGGACGGTTCCGGAATAATCTTATATGAGGCCATGTTGTTTCAAATATATACATCCACGTGCTCGTAAATTTTCGTTCGTTTTCAGAAACAAAAGTTTTGACTGTAAATCATACAAATCAGTTGCAAAACGAGGAAATATATGTCGTAAATTACAAAAAAAAACATATCGAAAAACGATAGTAATCGCCATACGTAGATTTGACAATAAAGGCAACTTTTTTTTACCTTTTTCATTCGCATGCTCGCAACAATACGGTTTTAGGGTTCCCAGAGGATGGCATCCATATATAACCAAATCAACATAGCCTTACAAGTTCACGGTATTTACATTCAGATTGGTTTAGTGGCTAACGATGCCTTCTTGATTACAGTAATCCTCTAAAATGGCATAAAATCACGTAATTGATTGGTACTGTAACATGTAGAATATATGCCAACAGTGTAAGCTTACAGTCTGGTAGCGTTGTACGAAATATCGTCTGGAACTGCCGTCAGGTTCTGTCCTGCACAGCTGACATTTGATGAATCCGAACACGTGCACATTTCTGGGACATCCGGCAACTCTGTCAGGAGATAGGAAACATGTTAACTGCGTAAAATGTGCTCTCAATGACGTTATAGCTCACTGGCAGACAGACGCTATGTACAGAAAAGACAGGCGCTATTTTCAGAGAAGACAGACGCTGTATACAGTATTTACAGGTTCTTTGTTCGGCCACGTAAATGCGTATGGAATGAACTGTGGCATCGAAAGATATTTCCCCTTGGCCTAATTAAGATTCTGTCACTATTGCAACCAGTCACCACAGTCTCCAACAATAGTCATTAAATTTGTCGTAGCATAAAACTTTAAACATTCATCCGAAAACAAATGTGGCAACGTCCTTTCTGTACAACGAAATTCAATCCATATCAACATTAGATACATCCTGCTTTTTTGCACACAATTTATAGCTGAGAGGTCCATGGAGATTCTGTTTCCCCCAAGATTCCTTACGGTTTTGACAATCTAACAAGGCAATGGCACATTTTGCACGGTAGTTCACCTCCATAAAATATGCATCGTGTAACATTACCAGAGTTGTCTGTAACAGTATTATAGATGGCTGATAATTCTTATTTTAGTATCGTTCCTCGAAACGGTATCATTAATGGTGACGCGAAGCTTTCTCACAACAATTTAACAGTCCATGCAATATGCAACGGGATCACCCAACCCAAAGTGCCTATCTATCAGAAGCCATACATGCTACTTTTAGTTTGGATGAATGGAGCTGGGGAATTTATTACTCTTACAGGCATCGGAATGCAACCTCCGTGAGTAAAATGCATCAACCACGAAGACAAAATTTAAGAGCAAATGTATGTTAAACCATTGCTATTCCAGTGCTGTGCAATACGATCTAGTCCAGAGTATCCCATTTAGAAAAACACAAGTTTGATAGAATATACCATATGCAACGGAACCGTCATTTTTGTTTTTAATCCCCAACAAAATCCCTCTTCAATTGCCATGTAACAGAGATTATATATGCTATTTCCGACTAAAAAAAATGAAAGCATATTTGCTCGAAACGGAATAATCAATAGAGACACTTCTCCGATAGGATCGCACAGCTTCCTTACAGACATCTATCCTTTGCAATCTCCAACCAATTTTAGATGCCGGTCCCAGAGGTAGGCAGATATGTGATTCCATGTCAGGTTTAGGTAGAGATGTCATTCCATATCAGTGGTATGCACACTTCATGTATTCTTGACATCAGCACGTTCTTCGGAAAGCCTCAAACACTGTCTTTTTTAGAACGTGCGAATTCTGTAATCATTTATATGTTGAAAACGAGATACAATTTCTACTTGACTGTACATTATATAAAGATGAACGCCAAGAGCTATTCGCTACTTTACAATTAGACAAGATATGTAAGAAAATGTCAAAGCATGACGTGTTTAAACACTTGAAGTCATACAAGAACGAATGTACAGTAGACAAACTGTGTAATTATGTTTCCAAATGTTTCAAAAAGAGAGAAGAAAGGGCAACTAATAGTAGATGATAGGTAGTTTATAGTATTATTGTAATGTATAGATTCCTAGCATGTTTTACATACTGGACATCCTCTTGTGCATTTTGCCCATCTGGGCAAGAACATGCAATAAAGATTCATATTATTATTATTATCATATATCGAACACGAGTTAATATTGTATTTCTGCATTTCGACGGTGATAGCAAATGCTTACTGGTGTAAGAAGGCTCTATGTATAGTTGTCTGAGATATTCTTCTGGCACTGCACGAAGAGTTGAAACAACCAATGACAGTAAATGCCAGTAAGTTCGGGTAATGTTTACTTTGTGAACAGGGCCGGACTTTACAGTGGTAGCAAATAAAAGTCATGGCTGATGATATCACTTATTACGATTTGATTGTAAAGACTTTTTGAAAAAAAATAAGTGTTTCCTGACTTTACTGCACTGGAATTTACTATCATTGGTAAGTCCAACTTTTCGTGCAGTGTGATATTACTAAAAAAAGAAACTATTTTTACACAACGAAGTGTTTTATTCACCTGACGTTTCTGTCAACTTCTTCCGGGTTATTCTGGTTGGTTAATATTGCATAGCAAAGTTTCTGCTGCTATAAATGCGTTCCTAAACGCAACGTATTTAGATAGACAATTAGTCACGAATTATGGCAGTAAATGCAGCTTTACTCACCGCACCAGTCCGGGTAGGATTGCAGCTCCTTGCCAAATTCAAAAAAGGGATCGAATTCTTCGCGAGAGTCAATGATACTTCCTGGTCCGTGGTCACCTGAAGTGTGAATAGAATATCATGAAGTAGTGCTAGTGTCACGGAAATGAAAAGAAACCTACGATGGGTGACACTGGAAGACAGACGAAAAATGTCCATAGTATACATGATGTATAGAATGACTAATAAACTGGTGGACGTACAAATTACTAAGTACCTAATACCAGATCAGAAAAGAACAAGAAATCCAAGAATGGACAGGAAAGACTTGGCAGCAAGCCTAACTCTAACGTACAGCCGAGAGGGATGGAGGCAGATGGTTAGACACTCCACTATGCAGTGCCCCCACGACCCTGGCCTGGATTAAGGGACCAAGGTACAAGGTATACGCTTTAGACTGCAACAGGCCGTAACGGAAAGCGACATACAGACATAGTGCCGCCGAGATCACCCTCTCCACACGATCGATGTCCGCCAGCAGACATTCATTAAGTTCCACTTTGCAGATCGTTAATCATGCGCCGTTACACGAAACTCCTGGCACTGTAAGTGATAACAGCTGCCGACACGGAACAGTTCTAACGGAAGATGAGTGTCAGGTATGTGTATGCACAGCTGATATTTCCGATATTTCCAGATTGGAACAACGTATTTTCATCATTTTTGGTGTGTAGGTACCTGAGAGAGAGTTGTACATAATTAAATGCAAATTATGCAAATGAGGACTAAATTTGCATAATTAATGAGGAAATTCTATAATTACAGTGTTTTATATAATGGTACTGATATACATGTAATCTATTTAATCTGTGGCAGGCGGAACATCAAAAGATACCAATTATGCAAATGATGACATAATTTGCATAATTAATGTGAAAATTTTGTGACTCCTTATTGGTGAATGATGGGAATTTTATACCTCGTGACATGTGTAAGTTACTTAAAGGTTAGCACCACTATGCATATATTATGTTAATGTAGAGGTTATTAATGGCGTAATTAATGAGGACATGTTGAAATGAAGTATGACAAAGCAAGCACATATTTCATGGAGGTATGAGATCTCAGAACTCTTGTTTTAAGTATGCAAGTCAAATGCTTGTAAGTCATGCTTGAAATAGCAATTAGGGAAACGAAAAAATCACAAAAATCCAATTTGCAGAATTGATGAGAAAATTTAAAAAAAATCTGCTGTGGTTAAAATTTAAGTAAAGATTTAACTGCAAATGTGGTCCTTATTAATTTTTACGTGTAATGACGTCCACTGTACGTTTTGATTTCCAAATTCGGTAGGTATGCAATTATTGGCAGCATTAGTCAGTCTGGTATAATAACATTTTGCAGTGATTATGCAAATCAGATCCTATTACATAACCAATATGCGCCGATGCTCGTCCCTTCCTCGATTACATATGTCACAAGTTTGAGTAATCTACCGTCCACCCAACACCGACATTAAGAACTTTATAAGTTATCTTTCCTCAACTCTAGATGCAATCAACAAAGAAGGAAAACTTTGCTACTTGCTTTGTGATTTTAACATAGATCTTCTCAAACACGAAAGCCACGCTTTAAGTGCTGACTTTCTAAACACCCTATATTCGTGCACATTTTACCCTACAATAACCAAGCCATCTAGGATAACAAATAGATCGGCTACATTAATAGACAACATTATGTCAAACTCGATGATCAATCCTCACTCAGCAGGTCTCCTTGTTACAGATATTTCAGATCACTTACCTGTATTCTGCATTACCTCCTTCATGAAAACAGATAGACCATCAAAAGGACAAGTACATCGTTTCCGTAAGTTTAATCAATGTAATATCGATAAATTTAAAGCTCTCTTATCAGTGGAAAGTTGGGAATCTGTGTATTGTAATACTGATACAAACACTTCTTACAGTAAATTTCTCGAAATTTTTAATTCCCATTTCGAACAATGTTTTCCTCTTTAAACAATCTCAACAAGAAGAAACTTGGATAACAACGTTAACAAAGCCTGGTTCACAAAGGGATTACGCAAGTCCTCTAACAGGAAAAATCAGCTTTATAGAAAGTACCTCAAGAACCCCACCCCTTCAACATTACAAACATATAAAACATATAGAAACAAATTCAACTTTTTAATTCGTACATCTAAGAAGCAATACTATCAGAATAGGTTTAAAGCTGCTTCAAATAACATACGTAATACTTGGAAAACTATAAATGAACTTCTAAACAGGAAAAGGTCAGTGTCTACTCTTCCTTCAAAGTTTATAGATGGGGAAAATGAAATAACAAATAAAGTAGATATAGTTAACAAGTTTAACGATTTTTTGTAAATATCGGCCCTTCCCTGGCAAGTAAAATAGACAAGACTGACCAATCTCCATCATCCTACGTACAAAATGATATTCCTCCCATCAACTTATTTGACGCACCTAGCACAGCAGAAATTCATGACATAATTAACAATCTTCAAAATGCTGCCCCTGGTAAGGATGAAATTAATGCAACACTTTTAAAACAGATTAATGCAGAAATCCTAGAACCCATTACTCATGTCTTTAAAGTTTCTTTAGAGACAGGAAAAGTGCCCTCCGACTTAAAAGTAGCCAAGGTAATCCCGCTTTATAAAGCCGGTGATCCATGTGTGTTTACAAATTATCGACCAATTTCTATCTTACCAGCACTCTCAAAAATTTTAGAAAATAGTGTATAACAGAATCTTGAAGCACCTTGAAAATAACAACATTTTATACATACACCAATATGGATTCCGTAAAAACCACTCAACATATATGGCCCTATTACAACTAATAAATAAAATTACGTCAGCTTTGGAAAAAAACGAATTCAGTATCGGGATATTCCTCGACTTATCGAAAGCTTTCGATACTGTGGATCACAAAATATTACTTAGCAAACTAAACTCTTACGGCTTCAAAGGTACAGCCCTTCAATGGTTAAAAGATTATTTGTCCGATAGAATGCAGTATGTTTCGAGTAATAACTTCACTTCATCTCTAAAATCAGTAACATGCGGAGTCCCACAAGGATCTATACTCGGTCCTCTTTTGTTCCTGATTTATGTCAATGATCTTGCCCTGGTATCAGTCAAACTCTTCACTCTATTATTTGCCGATGATACTAATCTTTCCTATTCTCACAATAATTTTCATACACTAATAACAACCGTTAATGAAGAGCTATGTAAACTAAACGACTGGTTTAAGTTAAATAAGTTGTCTCTTAACATAGATAAAACGAACTTCATTATTTTCACAGGTAGAAGTAAAAAATACGACAAAGAAATAGCTAATATATACATAGACAATAAACCAATCAAACAGGTATGTAACACACGGTTTCTAGGAGTCCTAATTGATGAGAAACTCACCTGGAAGTTTCATATTGACCGTATTTGTAAACAAATCTATAAGAACATTGGTATAATAAGAAAAGTTGCAAGTTGCCTATCACGTAAAATATTTATCACTCTGTACTATACTTTGATTTATCCCTACTTAACATATTGTAATATAGTCTGGGCTAGTACATACACTACTTCAATCCGACCGCTGCATCAGCTGCAGAAGCGCTTCGTTAGGATTGCATCTAATGTCCCATTTTTTGCTAACTCTGCGGCTCTATTTTACAACTTGAAAATTTTAACAGTGTACGACATAAATAAACTCCAAACAGCAATTTTCGTCCACAAAGTCTTACACAAAAGTTCACAATTACCAGTTCAATTCAAGGACATATTTCAATACAACTCAGATATCCACAGTTACAGTACCAGAAAGCAAAATGATTTAAGGCCAATCCTAACAAAATCAAATATGAAACAGTTTACGATAATGTTTAGAGGCCCGTTAATTTGGAACAGTATAAGTCATTCACAGCAGAATTGCCAATCCTTTTCAATTTTCAAACGACATTTAAAAACTGACCTTATAGAGAAGCCATCTACCACTTCCTGATTTGCTTTTGTTTTCCTTGTTTTCTTATGCTACGATATTTTCCTTGCGTTAATATTGGTTTCTTATGTTGTTCTTACCATATTAACTTATGATTTGACTAATGGAAATGTATTTTTTGTTGAATACGATATGTTTTTGATTGTCTTACTTTATTGTTTAGATATTTAGTTTGCCGTGTTAACTTTATATTATCTTGTTTGAGTTAATTTTCTCTTGTTTGTCCCTTAAGACATGCATGTTAATTGTTAACGTAAATAATGTTGTAAATATGAGATCATCAACAGGATTTGGGAGAGCCCACTAGATAAACCTCCTGGTTTCTTGGGCTCTCCTGCATGTATTTGATTGTACATAATTTCTTTTTATACCATTACTTTTTTTATGTGCGAAAGGACAATAAACAATAAACAAACAAATAATCCTAACCTTGCGCGCATTAACTGAGATATATTCACTTGTGTTATTTTCTTTATTTGCATATTACTATATTATTTGCAACATCAATGAAAAAGTGATTTACAATTTGTCAATTGTATAAAGGTTACCGTCAAGTGGTGACGGTGTGAGGTCGAGGAACTCTTGTTTAAGTAATCGTCATAGTTCCGTGTTGGTTATTATCTCGACCATGATCTCTAAAATAGAAACCCTTTGCCGACCAACATTCATAGCATAATTCAAATATCACCAAAGCCTGCCATGTGGAGACTCGATAGCGGTAAAGACGTTATATTTCATTGGATTTCCCCACTGAGGATTTGATGACAGATAATAATAATAAATGGTTTATTGGCCAAACATCACCCGTGCAATCGCAGCCTTATAGTGCTGAATTGATGCAGGGTTAACAATCAGATTATACACATAATGATACACATAATACACATGAATGACATGATACATGATACATTTTTGTAGAACTGATAGATGATACATTTTTGTAGAACTGCCGCAAGGGTCTGTGCGGCTGCCATTCGGCGACACAAGATGACCTCAATACAGCTTTCCCCAACCGAAGTTAGGTACCCATTCACACCTGACTGGAGTGAGGAAAGTCGTGTAAAGTGCCTTTCCCAAGGACACAACGTCGGGCGCATGTCCAGACATGTCCTTGGGTACGACTCGGGATCGAACCCGGGTCTCCCGGTTCACAGTCGAATGATCTACCACTACGCCACCCGACGCCAGATACTGGTCTAACGCTCGTGTACTGTGCATTACCATCTCCAAATGCACAACCGTTTTGAGATCTCATTCCTGCACGAAACATTTTTTGGAAATGATTATTAATCGGATGTGTGTCAGTGATTACGAACATAAGGATGTAACTCAACTCAAACTGGAAAGGCCAATATTTGCTAGGGGGCAAATACAATATTTCAGTCAAATCCTCTATCTTTATTCCTTATTCTGAACGTAAATAATAAAACAATACAAAGTAAAGTACACAAGATGAGTGTACAAAGACTGAGACTAACCGAAAACAAGCAAGCCAAATTCTAAGTCGTGTGTATTTTTGCTTGAAAAGTTGTTATTACCTCCGGGTGAGGAGACATCCTTCCGCGGAAGGGTTTTGTGAGAGATTTAGAATGTCATGTTCGCAGCTGTTTCTCGCGTTTGGGTGGACGGATTCTTTTGGGACTCGGTATATGTTTTACTATTGGGCTGTAGATGATGCACGTTCTTTTGTTTTTATTGTATATGTGTTTCCGGGCGTAAAAATGGTGCCTTTTGGTGGCCCGCGGACACCCCTTTGAACGTGAAAGTGGTCGCGACCGTTGACCTTTGGCGTGTATTAGGTATTGTTAGTCTCGTCCACGAAGGTGACCCCTCGCACAGAGGGGTGTCCGATCTCGATAAATTATTTTGTTTAAAACCCTAGTCCTGCGGCGCGCAACAATAGTTGTTGTAAACAACATATAAAGATATACAATAAAAGGCCCGGAGGTATAAAATCTCAGATTTTACTTGTTTGTAATTACATCCAATTTTTCGTGTCTGGGCGGGTCCAAATAACATATTGACAATAGTACCGCAAGAACATTTCATAGCGGGTGTGGATCTTCCATGTTTTATGTACAGTTTACTTTTGTCCTTTTAGAAGTTAATGTGAGCTTTATTGACTTAAAGCACTGGCGGATCTGTACGTGACTAGCGTAAAGTGCTGGCTCCAAGGTTGGCGAATCTCAAACGTTATGGTTACTGGTCAGTAATTATCGGCCTTTTAATGTATTTTGTAAACAGGACTACATTAATTATAGGCATAAATTATGCATATTTAATGATAAAATTTACATAAAATTATATGGGATGTTATTAATATTAGAAACCATAAGTAACTTGACATAAAACCCATAAAATTCCATTGTTGAAACAAAAATTACTAAATTTAGCAAAAAATGCATGTTGCCAAGGCAACACAAAAAATTATTATCTTATTCCAATGATAGAGAATTGTTGCCAACAATATTCTTGGAAAAGTCACCAAGTTTGGCCGTTCTAGCGCTAGCCGTTCGGACGCTATGTGACATCAAAGTTGGCGCGGGCACTTTTAGCCCCCCCTCCCCCCCCGGTCTGGGTAGGGTTAAGTTATCCTAAAGTCACATAACGATAAACATTTTTTTCATGATAGGAAATGCATGCTCTTTATTGCATGTCAACCTCTAAATACACTGAAACACTAATTATGGGATAATGGCATTGATGATTACATGGTGTGATAAGGCTTTGTCAGTTGCGATAACAAGTTAACTAACGCGTATTTAAGAAAGTGCCTAAAAAAGCGCCATAGATTCCACTCGCTCTGCATAAATATATGGTCCATGTAGTCAATTATTCTTTTTATTCTTTTTAAGGACCAATTATGATGATTATTCACCAGTCGTTACACTTTCTATGATGTTACGGTGTTATAACCAATAAGATTTATTGCAGTCATATGTCTAAATGGTAATAGGTGTTAAAAGGCCACAGCCACTGGACGGTTTCCATCTTATAACATGGCAAAGATATAAGTAATAAGCTGTTAAAAACTCGCCTAAGTGTGGATTAGACCATGAAGAACAAATTTAAAAAATAACAGGGTATTCCAAAAGGCTAAATTGTCTATTCAGTTCATAATTTACAACCGGGTGGCGTATTGTATACTGTCTGCCAAATGAATTTTTAAATTTAAAACCGCCATGCAAATTTAGTCCAATTTGTACTGTTTTCATAGCCACCGAATGCTCTGCTTGGCGATTAATTAGATTATCAATTAGCTTATGTGTTACGCCGGTCATACAGGTACAGAATGAGCATAGAAAATGATCTTACTACAGTGTAATTCATTCTCGTCATATCCGTTGTCACAGTCCTTGGTCTCGTCACACCACAAGTGTTGGTCCAGGCAGGTATTGTCAACGTCTTTACAGGAAAACTGGCCTTCGGGACAAAGATCATCAGCACCTGTGGGAAAAGTATATTCACCAATTTCACACTTCCCATCATGCCTAGTAAAGATCACGGATATGACGTAAGACCACCCCCTCCCCCTTCCTCCATGTAATATTTCCAACAAGTTCTATCGACAAACTGGTCAACTATTGTTTTGAATTATTTCTCTAGTATAAAGCGCATGCCATAATTGCATTTTTGTTGGGATTAGAGAAAATGACGTACCTTCTATCGTTCTACCTTCTACTCTCCTACTCGCACGGTCGGATTACGTATATCCGCTTCTTACGTCATATCCCATCCATATCCGTGATCAATTATTCTTTTAAGGACCAATTATGATGGTTATTCAGCAGTCGTTACACTTTCTATGATGTTACGGTGTTATAACCAATAAGAAATGGTGACTTTTGATTTATTGCGGTTATATTTCTAAATGGTAATAGAAACAGTCTTGGCATGGCAAAGATACAAGTAATGAAGCTGTGAAAACTCGCCTAAGTGACCATGAAGAACATATTTTAAAAAGTAACAGAAGGCTAGATTGTCTATTTAGTTCAAAATTTTTGCAGCCACCGAATGCTCTGCTTGGCAATTAATCATATTATCAATAAGCTTATGTGTTACGCAGGTCATACAGATACAGAATGAGCATAGAAAATGATCTTACTACACAGAAATTCATTCTCGTCATATCCATTGTCACAGTCCCTGTAGTCGTCACACCAATATAAAAGGTCCCAGCAGGTATTGTTGAAGTCTCTACAGGAAAACTGGCCTTCAGGACAAAGATCATCAGCACCTGTGGGAAAAGTACAAATATTAAATGTTTTTAGATAAAGGTAAGAAAAAAATTTTATTTGGTCGGTAGAAAATAAGATATTGTAATTTTTGTACACAACCAGGGATTCTATTTTGCTTACGTTTAGGAATCTCCACAGTTTTTGCTATTTGTCAAAGACAAATTTTCTCAAGGTACTTATGTCTAATTAGTAGTAGTAGAATGTTTTTTATAAACTCAAAACTCAAACATATATACATAAAACACTCTGACAACAGACTCGCAGGCAACCATACTGGATGCCTGAATTGCTCTGTGGTTAACACAAAATATCCTTAAAATATGCCATTAAAAGGCATTATCGTTAAAACAGTAGTGATTGCACATTGCTAAAATTTATATTAATAATAAATATTCCTCTACTTTAGACATTACACAGTTTCGGAGTTGTAATTAGTTTGGTAGTCAATATGCATTTTGGGCAGTAAACAGTTCGGTAAAAAGATAACAGTAACGTAACAGTAAAGTAACAACATTAGCAATAAATCACTTTTCGTATATTGTCGTTTCAGTGCACACTCTGTTGCACTATGTATTCGTAGGTTATGTGTTATTCAGTAGGTTAACCATGTAGGGCAAAGCGCTGTTTCTAAAGCGTTCAGTTCTTATTCTAAAGCAGTCTATCTGGTTAGGGGGCGCCACTGACTCTTTGCAACATACGATCCACTGATCCCCAACTCATGTGTATATCATCTGCATGACGTGACGTCACAGATGCGGTGGATTACCCATTCCCTAACAAAGAGCATAGTTGTACAGTTCAAATATCAGGAAAGTCAATTTTTTGCGCTAGAAATTACAGTTTGAATTAATCTTCAGAATGGCTATCTTTACATAGTTTTTCATTGTGTTTTTCTAAAGACGTTTACACACCACATTACATTGCGTTAAAGATATTTCTCCGTTGTTTCATCTTGGACACGGAACCAGACTTTTTTACGCAAGGTATTAATGGGGCCATTTACTTCAGGGCATTTCAACTAGCCATCAACAAAGACGGGGGACGCCATACACTTTCTGATATGATCTACTGCTCACCAAGCGAAGTGTAACGCATTCATTGACAAAGACTGGAATTGTACAGTCGAAAATATGGGTCCATTTTTTGTGCTGGAAACTTGCTTGTGTATGTAACAATGATTTTCCTATGATGGACGAGTATAATACTGTAAGAGCCCGAGTAGGTACTAGTGCGTAACAAAGTAGTTTCCCCAGACATTTTGTCTCGAGATAACAGTTTGTCAAGAAGACATAACTCCTTCGCGACTTTACTTTTCAGGAGATTGCCATCTACGGTAGAGACGACTATTTATGTTTGTCAAAGAGACCGGCATCCGGATGCACTTGCTGCATTTCAGAGATAGCCAAAGGGGATTGTTTGGGCTGAGAGCTAACGATAGTCATGTATCTCTCAAACGTCAGATAAAGAGCACAGCGAGGCAACTACTGCTATAGAATGCCAAGTGGATCCCCCTGAGACTAACGGCTATCGTTTTGTTTCGTGAATATGGTACCCACATGTCTACCACAATGGATTTATAGAAAACTCGAATTTCCCCCTGGAACAAATAGTTACCACCTTTAGGGTATGATAACCGGCAATGCTTCTTTAGTTCAGTTACCTAACATCCCAATGCATTCGCCTATTTGTGGTCGTATTTCTGGCTGCGTTTCCTTTCGTATTTGTACCAAAATGCCGGCAACACCATAGAAACTAAGATAATGATGGGGGAGGGGGATCAAACAAGCCATTGTTCCTTTTCCTTCATGTGCTGTAAACTTTGCTTTTGTCATGTATATGCAGCTAAATCAAATCAAAATCAAAACATTGGTCGTCGTGGAAGTATCACTGCATTCTAATAATTTCAGTTGAGTCGTTGATACTGCTTATATTTTTTTAAGCAATACGTGTAGAAAATGGATTTCTAGTTCATTCAAAACATGTAGCTTTCGGGCGTTCTGGCCGGGCCCAGTTTGTTTGCCATCTAAGCCTCATTTTCTAATTACTGCTACCCCGTTGTTAAAACGGCCAGCTGCTACGATGGTAAGCCAATATCAGACCGGAACATCTCAAAGTTGACCTGTAGAATGTGGTCTCCAGGGTACCATAGAAGTGGAATAGGGAAGGGTTTTGAGCCCTCATACTGTATAGCTGCAACGCGCTTGTAAAACGTTTGAGCGTGATTACCGGAGGGATTTATAATTATAATTTTTGTAAAATATCTGTAAATATTTGTAAACTATTTACAGATATTTGTAAAATATCTTAATATTTGAAATATTTGTAAAATATCTTTCATTGGATTGGAGAAACTTAATACTGTACTTTGCTGTCCCTGCTTGCTTAAAGCCTCTTTCCTAGCTCCCTAGTACGTAGATATTGAATCCAGGGTACGTTGACGATGTCTTAGGAAATAATGTATTGTCCCTGAGCATTCGGTATATACCTGTTAAATTAATTTGGCATGATTTGATTTGATTTATTAGGCTTCATAAAACGACACAACCAGGAATGCTCAACTAGCCGGATGCTAGCCCTGGACAATATACAATAAAACCAGTAAAGATGCTAATTCAAATACGTTAACAGAAGTAGCTTTTACAGTATTCAATCAAATGTTACGTTAACAGAAGTAGCTAGCTTTTATGTGAGTAGCATAATTCAGACAAGGTAGGGTGGAGTTATATTAAATACAGAGATGATTTTTGCGTTACCGATCTAACAATTGAAATAGCCATCGTAAAAAGAACGTTACAACTACACTAGAATAAATCTAGATCATTAGAGGATAGTACCTAATTACACCATCTACCAACATGCTTAAAGGCCTTTTGTAATTCTCAAAGAAATTTTGTCTTTAATGTCAAGCTACTTCAGAAGTTTCTATATCACATTTGTCCCAGTAAAGGGCTTAACATTAGATTGCTTGTATTATATCCGTTGAAGTTTAATGTACTTTTGATGTATGTCTCGAGTAGAATACTTTGCAAGCAGGAATCAAACTTCCATGAATTTCTGATTGAGTGGAGTCTCGCCAGGCTTCGAGATAAAAGAGCAATCTCATCACAGGTTCATGGAGCAGAATTGGAGAGGCGCCTTGGTTCTTAGCCGCTGTAGGAATCGCACTTTCCGCCTAACGGGGGATTCTCTGATCTCCAGGGTGTCAGCTCAGTCGTATGTAGGAGATGGTAAAGAGATACAACGCTGATGATCGGTCAATTCGGGTCATACTTTTACCTTCGCCTAGAAGTTTATGTTTTGGAAGCGTTTGGCCCTCCAAAATTGTGATAGGACTGGTCATTCTGTATGCTATATACGGTTTATATATTGTAATAGATAAACCGTGTAGTTTCAGATAATATGTCAGATAGTTTTCTGTTTGTTTGTTTGTTTGTTTGTAATTGTTTGTTTATTTGCTTGTTTAGGATCCTATTAGTGTGAATTTCACACACTACTCTTCCTGGAGTCCATATTGAATAATCAGGTAAGTATTTAGACCATCGCACACTCGGGCAGGCCCCTACTCTTTTTCGAATGCTGTACATGTAGTGGGATCCTGGAATAGCCTTCTTGGTTTTCGTAAATGTATTGGAACTGAAGAAGATTTTACGATGCAGCTCCCCTTACCCTCCACCAACTCCCCTTACCCTCCACCAACTCCCCTTACCCTCCACCAACTGTAGTCACTGAGACTATGGATTAAATTGTATGATATCGATGTAACACTTTTCTTCTTCCATGCATCTGACTCCTCTTATCACACTATTATTTACATACATCATAGTATGGATTACTACTCATAACCTTGTATGACTATTGATGTTGTTTTCATCTGCAATTAGCCCTCGGGCATGTATATGCAATAAACCTAACAATATATAATCCTTCCAACTGTGGAAGCCGGCCATACACAAACTGAAGCCAGCGCTACGCAACGTACAATGCACTTTGGAAATGAGCTGACCAGAACTTGTTGGCTTGTGGCCCAGTGTGTGTTATTAACATGCGTTTCGCGACCCTAATATTAACGACAGTGTGATTTATGAGAAGCCGCCTTCACAGCTTCCAGCGGCTTACCATCAGCTCGTTATCGTGTTTGTAACAACGGTTTTTAATTGCTTCCATAATTTACACACTAACGTATTACGCATAGCCGTTATTATCCAGAGGGAATAATAGACGTAGCGTCACCGTGGGAGCACTCAGCAGGAGTTATCATTGAAGGCTGACAGCTCTCCGGTGGCCTCTATTTTACAAATATGCCACTGCTAATTAGTGGTAGACACGGGAACTAATTAAATGGTAGCTTTGATGGGATGTCAAAACTTGCATGGGATACAATTACCCTTGAATTATTGTGGGTTTCGTTCTTTTCTCTTTGGGGTGTATTATTTTGTAACGGAAAAATGACTCAGTCGTTAAAACATTTTATTTTTCTTGGTTGCTGCAAATGTTTCTATTTCAAAAGAGTCACTGTTTAAGTATTTGAAACACATGTTTACTTTGGAATACAGGGCTTCTGAAATATTTATGTTGACCGAAGGACAACATATTGTTTTTACTCAATTTCCTCTTCTCCAAACACTAACCTCTGACCTGGCCAATGACATGATTTGTTGACGTCTGTCACCATGGTGACTGGTGTTGGGTTACATAATGTTGCAAACTTCATGGTCTGCTCTGCTCCTGTCACCATATACTAGTAGTACATGTATGTGAATATGTTTGAGTAAAAATTAACAGGGCAGAACATGTCCGAAGGTAAACATTATGCATTTGCAAATGTTACTTGTCTAGCTTTCCCTTTATGTTGGTAGGACCAAATTGATCAAACATGTCTTCTGGGTTGCTGCATTTTTAAAAATAGTTTAAAAACTGTTTAAGTCTTGAAAGCACTTTGCGCATCAGAATATCAAGAATATATTAGAAATAGACATTGAAGCCTTTATTTAGTTCTGTAGAAGGTATAAAACTATTTTATCCTGGAAGAAATTTATATCTACAGATGCCTGATTCATTGATAACTATATCAAACAGATTTACTAATTGCTTTAGTCAATTTTGGTTTTATTCGAGTGCATGTCTTAATATGAACAGACTAATTTGATCACAGTAGTTTTTATTTCACTTTCAGGTAATCTTTATTCTTTAATAATATTGAATTGTCTTCTGGCGATTTCTTTAGAACTAATATTGTAATAACATAATAACAGTCCCACCCTAGAATTGTCATGACAGTTTATTGCAACATTGGCTATCGTCAGCTGATTCCCAAGAAGTTTACATAGAGTAAAGATTGGGCCCACAAGATTTCATGTATTATTTCATATCAATTTCATTTCATCTCAATTTATGTATACTACTGTTTCATTATTGTTATTGTATGTTTTTGCCCATGTTTGAATTATTTTGATAACAATTCCTTATGTATGTATGCCTTATTTCAATTCAATTATGTTTACTTTTGGTTAGTATAGAGGAGGAGGGCTTAGCATAAGCTAAATAAGCTTTTTCCCCTCCTCCTGCACCTGTTTTATTCATTATTAATTTATTATGTATAATCTATATTGCTGCTGTGCAAATAATAAATAAACAAACAAACAAACAAGATAGTCACAGTCTCGATCTGCCCACTTTTACAAAAAATAGAAACGTAGACTTAGAGGGGGCGTTTATAGGAAATTCGCACTTAAAGACACGTTGTTATGTTCACAGGAAAGCTGCAACGGATGCATTTTGCTATCATTTTCTAGCCAGTAATGTTGGCTACAAATTGGCGTCTTTCAAATGTAAGAGAGAATTGGTGGCTTTTAAATGTGTTAAAATATCCCTACAGTTGGAGGTATATTAATAGATATTTCACAGACTAGAACATAGATTTTAAGTGAATATAATCCGACGACCAACTCCAAAAGAATTATTATTCTGCCTTGAACTTGGAGCCATTTTGCATCCAGGTTTACATGAGAGGTATGCTCCACCATAAACGCCAAATGTTAACGATGTATCCGTGGTGTACACAGAAATCTGATCATTTTTGCAAACTGAGCACGCAACATACTAACAGGCTAGCACGAGTAGCGTCGCAATTTTTTTGGTATAAACCACTTGTTATTAAGTTTTGTTGTTACGTGGGATAGCATCCCTCTTCTACATAAACTTATAATTATTGTCGAATGAAATAAAAATGAGCCACCAGTATAACCTATAGCGTACATACTGGTGAATAAAAACCCACTACAACCAGGACATCAGTGTTGAGCTAGGTGTTGACCTTAAGGTTACAATCAATAGACCTGAGCAGTGGCGAGTGCCTACAGCTACCATTTCATGTGACTGTTTTAGGAGACTTGATCCATGGTGCCATATTGGACGAGGCTGGTAGCACGTTCTTGTCAAGGTTACAAAATTTCACTAAAGTCAATATACAACCAACCCGTCCTCAAAAGTGAGAACAGATCACAGCAGAACATGAAACACGATCAATAGTCGCATGAATAACCTCAGAATTAATACGACGCAGCAAGGAGCTTAACGCTGCCTCTAAGTCTGGCATAAAGCTAGACACGTTTCATTTACCTTGATAAAAAATAAGCAAATATTTTTGTACCTTGGAACTAACTATTTTCACATAACAAAGAGACGTAGTATCACAAACAGGAAAATTAGTAATATAAGTCTTTTTCTAAAACATGGACGTGGTACGTACCTAGTAAAGGTAGGTTCCAAGCAAAGACACATAGGAGAAGGTGGGCGGCAACCGCTCCTCGAGTAGTCATGGCTTCAGTTTATTCTGTTGAGCTGGCGTCAGCTTGATCCGGTACCTTAAAAATGTAACAAAAATACATGATCATTGAAGCTAGGACTCCTCAAGGCACGAGGCCCTACCATATTGTCTACATAACCGTACAAACATTTTAAAACCATGGGGCCAGGTGCAGTTAAGGGCTAAGATAGGAAGCACTGAAAATCTTACCTTCCAATGCTGCCTTCCAATGTTGCATCGTAGAGAAAGTGCCGGAAGATAGGCTGATATCTAATTCACAATCATACCTGAACAGACATAAGTTATCCATGAGTGTTACTGAGAAATGCCCCGGGATCTTACACCAGCTAAAACCGTAGCGTGCGGCGAGCACATCCATACATCAGGCGCGGCTAGAACTGCATCAACAAGCCGTATTCACAACGTGCACTCAGATATAATCTCAGAACCAAATTCACTTTAAAAACACCGGGGATTTCGTTGATGTTAAAGAAAACTTTCACTAAAAATTACAAAGACGGTCAACGCTATTAATCTTAATGGCCAAATCGTTTTTTTTACACATCAGCAGTATTTACTTGAATCACAGCTTGACATACACACAGGTGACCAGAATACGTATAATGTTACATAAATATACAATGAGTCACAGTAACGCTTTTTCCTAGTCACGACGTGAACCCAGTCTTCCCAGCTCATACATTTAAAGAAGGAATTAGTCTATTTCATGGTAAATCCTGAAGATGGCAGCGATTCACGGATGTCTATCAGTGATAAGGGTGTTTGAGTGTTAACTACTCTTATAAACCTCTCAGTATGACGGGCCGATGGCAAAACGTATTTCTAATCGGCCGTGACACCTGGAGAAATGAAGTATAATGAATATGTAGTCAAGGCAATGGAGTACTCGAAAGGAGAAAAAAAGTCTATTGGCTTGAACCATGTTTGGCTGACGTTGCCAGATCGTTATAAGATTGGAAGCCTGAACCTCTGGGCCGGTCTTGGGCCTAATGTCCTTAACATTACGCTACCATGAACTAACGCTACAAAGTTACAGCAGAGCATCTGGCCACAGAACAATACCTAAGACTGGGGAGGGTGACATTCACCAACTCGGGACATGAAATCATTAAAAATATATCCCCAGGCACGTGTAACGGTTGGTGAACACAGATCTCGGCGTAATTTCAAAACGGCGATTGACACTAAAGCAGACCTGACAGGCCATGGCAGGTCAACTGTGGAACTCGCTACAGTTGGAATTATCGGTCTAGAACCTTGAATTGACTTTCGTCCTGGAGAAATTTGACGTGTAGATTGTGCCGATCAGTCATACGGTGGGCATATGGTGAATATTGGTTAGCATCGACCTGTACCAATCACACACCGTGACAAACTACCGCATTATCACCAGACCCTTTTACTCATCTGTCATTAACACTGGAGTAGTGAGCCAGGAGGCAATCGGCTATGGCCTTCAAGTTGGATGAGTGTCCAAATGCCATTCAATTCCATCCACACTGCTTGCATACCAACACGCCTAGAAACAGCAAACCCTGCATTTTCTATCCTTACACGATTATCTGCCTGACCTTCTGGAAAGTTCTCCGCTATCATGTAGGCTATTAGATCCAGGTCTGCACGGACGATTGTTTCCTGGGGGCGGCGTGTTCCCTCGCGCAATTTCCCCAAATTGCAGGTTTCAACCTTTCCGAGGCCTGCATTTCGTTGGTGCACAATGAATACCAAATACAAAGAACTGCACGACGGCGTGCTTTATCAAAATTGACCTTCATCTCTGCTCTTCATAAAGATCGTCTATTTCAAACTCCCACGTGAGTGTCTTCGTGGGGATCTTACATCTTACCCTCAGAAATATTCCGTGACCTGGATATATGGTCGGGAAAAACGGTAGTCACAGACAATTACAGAATCGGCGAAAGTCACGTCAAATATCCGTCTGAAAAATAACGATGAATTATACGTCACCAGTGCTATTGTACGCATTATGAAGACAATCGACTGGAGGATTATGTGTGTTTTCAAATCAGCCTTAGACTCTCGCCTTATTAATTATATACCGAACGCTTCTATAATCAGAATTCCATGAAAAGGAATAAAAGGAGTAAAAGCCATAATGGCCTTGTGGCGTATGTTCATATAAATCGGTAGATAAGAAAAGCCTATTTGTAGCACTTAGATTAAAGGTACCAAAGCAATTTCAGGGCTACAAAACAAACAAAAAAAGATATTCTTCATGAGAAAATATGACCGATATTAATATTTACTGATATATTCATCATTTGATACTTGATGCGTTTGAAATAGCCCAAAAAATAAGCCACGTGAGGTGTTCCTTGTTTGGGTACCGCCTATAAATACCTAGAACCAGCCTACGGTTGGGAACAGGCAACTGTTTTCTGTCAGTGACATCACATTTTGCCTCACAGTTATCAGAATGCTATAGGAAAGGGTTGATTCAATTTAGTACATTCAGAGAATGACCTAAGAAGTGACTTTTAAAATCTAGTTTGGCCGCCCTGAAATTGAATTTAATGCCTTTAGTGAAGCTTTTGTGAGATTTTTTTGTGAATGCTGTTACTATCAGGCATGGCTTATAAAATATACATGGAGATTCTTTATTGACACAACAAAAAAGTACAGAGACTTTTGTATGGTCTTCTACAACTTAATTAAAGATCTAACAAAGCTAAATACATGTGTGGATAACGTTGTCTTACGTGCAGAGTATATGTATGATGTAACAATAAAGGTTAACTATTCTCTAACATGTGTTCTCTAAGATCGAAACATTCTTTAATGTATTTCCCTATTTGAACACTGTATTGGTTATCTCCCCTGAGAATGTAGTTGCATTTATCTATAGGATCTAACATGTGACGTACATTTTGTGTTAATCTAATAGAAAACTTGATGTATGAATGAATAATGTAATATATTGTGACTGCGGTAAGAATTGAAATTGCGTTTTTGTCAAATTTGTAGAAAATGTAAAATCATACGGACAGCCTGGTAAACTGAAGCGGAATGATTTTTGACTGGCAGAAAAGGGGTCAGACAGAGTGCAGAGACAATATAACATTATCTAGTGTCCTTGCACATTTTAATGGACAGTGACCAAGTAGGGAAAGCGTAAAGATAGCGAAATGTGATTTCAGCGTCTCTAAAGTCTATATATTCCCATTTTACGATTCATATTTCTTTTATTCATCAAAACATAAAAACATAACAAGGACAGTGTGACGCTGCACTCAAGTTAAAAACTTATATTAACAGCGCCACACAACAAAAAAGGTACAATTAACATTTAAATATACAAAGTTGTGCACCGTAGTCCCACCACCCCAAGACATTAAAATGTTAACTCGAATGCTAACAAAGCTATTTGAAAGATAAGATTACATGGTAACCTCCTATATCTCATTGGCGGAAAAACATACTATTCATATTTCAAACGAATTCTCCGTTTGACATGATTTTTGTGTGTAATCAATTTTTTTCACATTTCTGGAAGTTGCCTCGCCAACATCACGAGAAAAATCACAAAGATATTCCAAAAGACAGTATACATCTACCCCTGAATCTGCCGCTAGTTTTCGTATACAGGTCCTAACCCCTTCAAGCGTCTGCCACACTCTATAAAGTACGTCCTTGTCTGATTTTAAAATCAATGTAAAACCTCGGCGGACCTGTCGATAACGACTGGAACGGACTGGACAGTAAATTTGAACATTTCTGTTATATTGTGCTGTAACTTTCTATTGTTATCATATGGCTATCGTTTGTTTAATCATTCTCATTACCGTTATTATTATATATGTTTGTATGTGGCTGTATGTATTCTACTTGTTCTACTTATGTATGCCGCAGTGCCCCACAGTAAAGCAGACTGTTAACTACTGAGCTGGGCAACCCTCCACGAAATCATACCTTCGCAATGACTGACGAATTATAAATGCTTTATTGTCTCATTCATTATGCAAATAAGATCATCATTTGCATGAATTATACCTGTTGTTGATATTGCCCACCCCATATCTTATCAAATAAAACTATTCTAGCATTTCCTCATGAAAGATTATGCAAATGAGATCTTGATGTGTATACTAGTAAGTTATGTTTGATGGTATTCAGGTTCACTTGACATCTGTTTTTAAGAAATCAATCAATCAATCATTCAATCAACCAATCATCCAATCAATCGTTTAGAAAGGTTTTTGTAGCCACAGGATACTCTCCAAGCAGAGGAAGGGTCGCTCGGTATTTTGGCAGTATTTTCGTGTTTTTAAGGGGAGGAAGACCAGAGAAAAACCGTAAAAGTAGAAAGACGTATTAAAAACGCGAAAATACTGCCAAAATACCGAGCGACCCTACCTCTGCTTGGAGAGTAGCCACAGGATAAATTGCGTGTTGTTGTATATTACAATTCACAACATGTCACCCATTTAGAATAGTTAATACACCAGCCATATGTGGTAGTTACAAGATGGCAAACAACACACATAATTGTTCGTCATTAGCAAGAATCATATTTCCACAGGGAGACAATGTATTTTAAATACTATAATGAAAAGTAATTATAGTATTGGCTTTTTTCATAGTAATTAGTATTGGCTGGTTACTTTCAGATTGATAAAGGGATAAAGTATAGAATGCTACTGCGCGAAAAGGGCCGTCTTCATATTTTTCTGCTTTCTTGTTTGTTGTTGTTGTTTTTTTTATTTGTTTTTGTTATTCTATAGAGGGCACGCCTTTAAAGCAGACCTGTGCGCGCCTTCCCTGTATAAAGAAAGCAGATAGATGTACTATTTTGATTCCCGGCAGCTTCCAGGTATAGTGAATAAATCAAATCAAATCAACTTTATTGCTCAACAACTGTAACTGCTACAATGTATGGCAAAAACGAAATAACAAGGGTAGATAAATGAGCAATATTATGTATAAAATTCCGGAATGTATTGTAAACAGAAAAACTAGCTTAAGTGCACTATG